AGGCGGCAACGTCTAATCTAGTTGAGGCCAGTAATCTCTGGATGTTGATGTACAGTGTCACGCGCTGCCTTGTAGCATTTCCACATGGGTGATCTCTTACTTTGCAGCACTAGGATCTGCATTTGATTTCTTACTCTCTTATCTGACTCCTCTGGGATTCGGTAAATCCAGCAGTAATTTATAACTGCCATTCTCTCTGGGCTTTGACACATACACAGTCAAGGATCAAAATTAGGCTTCTAAAAGCAGTTACCACTTGCAGCCATCTGCCCTGCCCTTCTGATGGAGATTGCAAATGCCACCACAGTAAGTCTGAAAACCCAGTGAAGCAACTCCTGGACATCCCAAGTCTATTTAAGGTACATAGATGCACTTTGAATTTACTGCTTATCTGGGAATGGCAGCAGTACAGAAGCTGATTCATAAATCACGCAGCAATCTTTGTCAGAGGTGCGGCAACATCTTGGGCAGCACCCATCGGAACCATCTGATTTTATTCTGCTTCTCCATGTGAATGAACCATTGGACTTCATCAATGTTTACAAGTTAGTAAATGACAATTCTTCCAAAAGCAATTGTTTCAGAACAACAGGGCTACTTCAGATGCTTTGCAGACTATTATTTTACTGAGTGCTTTACAGACTCTGTTTTTGTTGGGTACAATTTTTTTAACCATTTTTGAAATATTCACAGCCACAAATGAAGCAGAAAGGAGGGTTTACTGCACATCCTCCTTTGAACCCCAATAAGAGCTGTGTTAAGTCACTGCCACCACACTGGAAAATATCTTTCAGACACTTGGGAGCAATTATATAGCAAACTCAGAAGCATTATATAGAAAATTATGTAGGCTCTTATTTATGTGTTTTTATTATACAGAGTGAACAATCAAAGTAGTTGTTGATTTTAAATGATAAACTTTTATTCTGAATATACTGTTTCTGCACAAGAATTAACACAACAGTTTTAGGATTATAAACTTTTTATAACATTATTGTACAAATTTTTACAAAAAATTATTTTTTCAGGCTTGTCAAGTTCCACAAAAGTGTCAAGAGAACACGAGAAAAGGGAGAAAGACCTGCTTGCCTTGTAAGAGCAACCAAGTCTTTTTTTGCAGAAACGCACACTGAGCATTTCAATAAAAATATCCCAGAAAGCATGATCCAGACATTCCATACAACACAAGAAGAGAAGACAGCTTTGTCAGATCACAATCGCAATTTCATGGCATCTGAACAAGACAATATCCCTTTAGTCTCAGTGAAATTATTTCTTCAAGATGATGTTTTCCTTTTTAACCATAAACAGGACAGATGCAAGTAGCTGGGAAAAGGGTGAGGCTAACTTTTTCAAAACTCTTGAATTGTTTTCAGACACTTTGTTTTAATCTTTTTACAGTAGTGTACAATGAGTATTAACAATATTAACATTGTGGTATGAAAAAAAAAATAATAAATCTGGCCTTTGTTAAAGGCTTGGATGACTGATGACGCTAGGGTAAAAATTATCCTAAGGAAGGAGTTATTAAGATTTCACCTTCAGTCGACATTCTAAAAACACCCAAGTGCGTTGCAGTGCCTTGTAGGCATTAATATACTTCTTAATAACCAGTACGCTATCATCTGAATTTTTAGGACCAGTGGGACGGAGGTCGTGTTTTGAAATTAAGACATACTAAGCATGTTTTCTGAGCTTAAGTGTTAATGGGAACAAAAGGTCTTGATGTCTCTTCAGTGATACTGAAAAACTCTCAACCACAGCAAGTAACACTTGGGTTGCAAAGGTCACTTAAAAGGGATACTGCCTATTTGAACCCAGTAAGGCCAGTTTTTAAGTTAGTAAAAGGAATACTATAGGAAAACTTACAAATGGCAGCAACGCTGTTTTTTTTTTTCAAGTCAAGCAGTAAAGCCTCAAGCATTAGAAACATGAAAAAGATCACACTAAAATCTCAAAGGTACAGGACCTAAAAATCTTGTCAATCAAACCTGTTATGTCATGTTAAAAACCTGTTACAAATATGGAACACGGTCAGTGTTTTGGCAGTAATGCTGGTTGTTTAAATAAAAAACTAGAAAGAAACCTTTCATGTTAAGTCCACAGATCATGTTTTGCACAGTACCATGCTGTAAGAACTTTAATGGTGGTTATTTGTCAGACATACAATAGACTGCATGACTTCTGTCTAAACTGAAACAGTCCCAACAGTTCCCTTAGTGCTATTTAAACGATCTGAGCAAATACCAACACAGCATTTTATCTGGCTTTAAAAAAAAAACTCAAACTTTTTATGATCTATTGTAATTTGAAAATGTCTCAATTTAAAGCCTAGGATCAAGTTTCTTCTTTCACAGACAAGCGGAGACGACTATTATGCATTACGTGAGAGTAAGGGTACCCTTCTGCATGAGAATATGTATTTATTCATAGAAGTTACTTCTAACAGATTAGTATTCACATTTTGAGACAGCTAAAGTTCACATTGCATTTGCTATCTGTTTTGTAATTTGCAGCTATCTAGGTAGTGCATTTTAAAAAATCTTGCCCATTCACTCAAATATAATCAAAATATATGTTGCTTTCTGCAAAAAGAAGCCAAAATTTTGTATTTTCCTGCTTAAAGTATTGAGTTCTACGGGGACAGTACTAAGCCCTTCTGGGAGGGTCAGATCCTGAGTTTTCCACCAGAGAGGTATAACGGCTGGTAGGCTAAGTGTTTATACAGAAACAAGTTTCTTCAGGTCATACAGAGGGGCAGAGGAGAGGAACAAAGAGTATTTTCCTCTTTGGCTAACCCAAGAAGGCTAATGCGTCTGCATGGCACGGGCTTCTCCCTCCTTTTGTATTGGTGCACTCTAAGGGAAGTGGGATGAGAGCAAAACCCACAGTTGCTTTGTGCCATCTTTCTTCCTGCCTACAGACTCTAATCAAATGCTTATTAAGTAACTCAAAATATTGCCTGCCAGTGTAAGATAATTGTTACAAACTGTTGAATAATGTAACTTTTCCATGAAGGGTTTCTTTTGGGAAGCTAAGTGAAAATGATAGAGAACTTAATATACTGAATCTTTCAAGAAATTAAAAGAGCAAAATGCAAACTAATATGTCTTTGAAGCAATCTTTACAATAAAAGCTAAGAGTGTAGTAAGTATTGGCCTGATCCTACAGAACTTCTTCCTCCCATAAAGTTTCAATTGACCATGTTAAGGAAAAACACAGGATGCAGTCTCAGCATTAGAAAGAATCAAACCAATTTTTTATCAGGTGGTCACTGGTGATAGGGTGAAGAGAAGTGCAGTAATATGACGGGAAGGAAGAACTCCAAGATTATCTTCACCCATATTGTCAAAACTAGCTCAGCCTTCCCTGAGGAGGACCTGAAGTCATCCAACACAGTTAATTGTACTTTTAACCCCACGACTTTACTAGAGATATTTTTTTAAAGAACAAAATCTGATCACTGAACAAAAGGTCAGGTTTTCTTTTTTTCACTCACTGTATTCCCAAACATGAGAAAATACGCAGCTGGAGCCAAGGTACATGAGAAAAACAATGAATCAGCCATGTGTACAACTACAGTAGACATCTGATCTTTTAAGCCATGCCATGGCTTTGAGTGGCTTCTTCAGCTTTCATAGGATATTAATGCATGCCCAATTATTTCTTTAAGCTTTTGGCATGATCAAAATTATATCAATCAATTGCCAGCATATACATACCAATGCTTTGCATTTTCTTATTTTTTTAAAGAGCTAGTGTATTGTGCCATGTTAATATTTGCATATTGCAGTTGTTAGCAGAATTGTACAATACCAGCAGAGTTGCACATTCATTGGTTTAGCTGTCTTGCAATACTGTTTAGTTCTGAAAACTAGAAAAAAGCGCAAATCATATTTTGCATCAACACTATGCTACACTGTAATATTGTAGTTTACTGCACCAATCTGTACCACCAATGAGGTTGTATAAAAACAACTTCTAAAATTATTATTCACAATCAAGTATCAATGTGCATACATATAGATTCAAGGCTCCCCATTTGTTTAGATTTTTTTCTAATCTCAGTAACCAGGACATTTTGCTGTTAAATATGTTACTTCCAATAATAAATAACAACAGCAGATTTTTTAACACTATGGGTGGTTTTATATTAAGGAAACAAAGGGGGAACCTGATATGAACTTTAGAGAACATATACTTCCAGAAATAAATGTGTTAAATCTTATTTTTATATACTTAAAATATCTGTACACAGGTTTCCATGTGAGATTGCTATTCTGTAAAAAATCCAACTCAACCCTTTTGTTATGATAGCTAAATTTATCCTATTTTCTCAGCTTTTTCACTGCACAGTATATTCAGAGCTCTGTTTGATAATACAATTTAATATGATTTGATTGCAACACATTGCAATGTTCAGTTTCTCACACAATGAAAGAATCACTCAGTTACCTTTTCAATGGACTATACTCTACCATCAAATAAAACAAACTGAAAAGCAATAACATAGCATCATCATCATGCAAAATACCCTTGGAAACCAACGTTCAAATATCACAAAGACATTTTTTATTCACAGGCATTTTTGTGTGAGCCTTTGAAGGATTCAATTAGCTTTTTATATAACTGGGAAAATGAGGTGAATATTACATTGAAATTAACATTTTCCTCACAGAAGATGACACCCAGTTTAAAATGAGAATCACTTTTTAGTTAAACTCTCAAGCACCTTTATATCTGAAAACAAGTTTCCTTCTTTCCTTCCTTCCTTCCTTCAATTTATCAACCTACTAAAACTTAGCTGGCAACATGATTAATTTTGGAAGAATAAACCACTCATTATAAAGCATTTCAACCATTCTGAACTTCTGATGAGGACTAGCCAATATTTTCATTTTACTCAACTAGTTTGGACAAAACTGATTTTCAAAGCATCCATCTTAGTGCTAGTAATGTATATCGGGGAGCAGGTTTTCTTTTTACTTCTTTATTTTTTTTTTTTAATAACTGTTCATGTAAAAGAATATAAATCTTCAAGATATCCAAAGCTTAAAAGAAATTAAAATCATATACATAAGCTATTGTCAGGGGAGCCCTTTTACATGAAGTCGTCAAGATTACAACAGCAAACAAATGGAAAAAAAAAATCTTTTTTTTTTTTTTTTTATTTCCCAGTGGAGCAGACACAGAATTCTGTTCGGATGGCATAGATGATGCAGCATTCACACACGTTTAAGGATCCGACACTCCAACATGCAGCCACCATGGGTGCCTTTACGAGTCTCACAACGAGTGATAACCAGACATGAGCACTGCTGTTCTGCTGCTGTCTGAATAGCTGACCCTTTTGAAAATGAAACTGAGGCTATCGTTTTGGCCGGGTCTTGATTAAGTTATGCAGGTTTTGGTTTAACAAGGTCATAACTGGTAGTGTCTGCTGCCAGACAGCAGCCAAAGCAGGACCAACTGAATTCCTACCATAGACCACAGTGATGGACTCAGACCAGAGACACCACCGCAGTCGGCCGAATCTTCCTGTTGAAAAGAAAAGGAGAAACCATTTAACATGAATTATAATTAATTATAATTAAATTACCTGAGAAGTAATCTATATTTTAGTCTTCAACATTTTGAACTATCCTTGAGGCATCCTTTTTGGTCTTATATATGTTATTTTGCCTAAAATAACAGCAAAATAATTCCTGTACGTTTGTCTGATTTTTGATACAAAGAGTAGCATTACTACATTAACTATAAACACGGGAGAACTAAATACTTACAGGGCTTACTGCAGTCACTTATGAACTAGACAGGATACTTACATAATCAAACAAGAACACTATGGGATATACCTGGGGGGCCCAGTAAGCCACATCTATGTTCCTTAAAATTACATCAATTTGGAGATTTTGGGCATCACTTTATTGTGAGGAAAGATGGAAAAACAGATAACTTTTCAAGATAAGAAAACAAATACCAGAATCTGTTTGTGTCCATTTCATCATGATCACACATCAAAACAAATATGCTCTGCAGGTGAAGATACGATCAAAGAGAATGAAAATGCTTTCTTTGTCTCTGATGCTGTATTCAAGTATGAGAACCAAATCTTCTGCTGTTTTTTTGTGCATGTTCAATACAGCCTGTAGAGAAGTCACCCTCCAATTGGAGAGCTCACTCTGAGCTGCACCGCTCTGTCATGTATCAGTAGATCTAATTATTCCTTATGCCACAGAGCAATCACACCTCTGTTCCCCATTCCTCTTTATTGTTAACTGCTGTTATTTGGTCACACTTTGCCTATTACGTGTAATGTCTTTCACATCATGGACTTATTCATTAGTCTGGTTGAAATACATTTAATACCTGTTCTGGAGTCTGATCATATTTTTGGATATGATAAATGTATGCCTTTTGGAACAAACCATCTTTGAATCTTTAGTGGCACATTGGGCCCTCTTCAAATTTATTAGTAAAGAGCTGCTCTGTATAGCTTCAGTATAGCTCTAGTAGTTCTGGAGACCACAATGCAATAAGACTTAGCTTTGCTGTGTGAGAGATCAGGCCAAATAAATCTAAACTGAAAGATACCAAATTCAAGAAAGGGAACTAAGTGAAAATTACAGAAAGCTGTTAAAAAAACCCCCAAAACCCAACAACCCCAAAACCAAGAAAACAGAAAAAAACACTTAAAACCCAACAAAAACCAGAAAGCACAAAAATATCTAGAAGAATCTCAAAAAGCAAGTCCCTCACAAGGATCCAGAAGAATGTTTAGAAATACTGCTTTAGATTTCCAGGTATAATTAATGTCACAATTAGAATAACCAACACCCCCTCCCCCACCCAAAAAAAAAACCACCAAAAACCCAACCCAAAAACAGGTGAAAAAACGCCAGCCTCACCCCCCTAAAAAATACCGATCAAACCCCAGAGAAACATCCCTGCATGAATCAGTAGGGAAACGTTAGTACACTGTCATAGGGAAAAGGTCAGTATTTAGGAAATTGAGTTTACTCAAATGGGCAAGAACAGGAAAGCACATAAAAATGGCAGATTAGACACAAACAGGAAATTAGGAGGGCTGATAAAGAATTTTTGATGATGTCCCTGCAAAATATGCTGAAAATAATAGCAGATTTTTGAATAGATCAAAAGCATGAAGCTAAATATGGAGTTAGGGCAACTGCTTGATAACAGAGGTGTAAAAAGGGAACTCGGGGGTTACAGGGCATGTCAAAGGACTTCAATGAGTTCTTTGTGGCAGTTTTAAGGGGTGAAGACTTTAATGAGATTCCCACTACACACAATGCATTCTTTAAAGCAGAGCAGTTGGAGGAACCAGATACATTTGGAAGAAATATATGGAAAATCAGATAAAGCAGACAAATTAGTCTCAATATGTCATCAAGAATGATGGCATTCACTGACAGTCACCTTTACAAACTTGGATGTAGAAAAATAAAACAAAACAAAAGAATAACCCAAAACCAGAATTCAAGATTAAAAAAAAAAAAATGTCCTAAAGCAAATAACTCATATTATCTGCCATTCTTTATCAATAGTAGCCATTTCCAGACATGTCTCTGCCATCTGTTAGCTTTATAATTTAGTTCCATAATTTTGGCTTAGGCTTTTTTTTTTTTTTCAGTTGATTGCACTCTAAAAGTTCAAAATTCCTAAGGTTTCCAGTCAACAAGTAAGTCATAAGTGAACTTTGCTTCACCAGATTTAGAGTGGGATGCTAAGATTTGAAGACGCACTGAACTTTCTCATTTATTTAGTTTGGCTCCAACTCTTTTTGCATCTGCATTGTGTCTTGTCATGTAGCTTTATTTCTACTCAAAGTACCTAAAAATAACCTTTTTGCTTCTTCCTTACAGCGAGTACCATCAGGAACAGGATCATCATTAAAATTTCTTCTCAGATGCATTCCATGAACAGTACTCAGTGTTACCTCTTGGTATGTAAGATTCTTATCACTGAAATTACTTAGAAGGGTCATCTTTGAAGAAATAGCCTAAAGTAAAGCACAAGGTTTAAAATTTTCCAACAGAGGGGAGCCGTCTCAAGAGTAAATAAGAAGTAAATTGAGGGTCTTAGACAAAATTGTTCATAATAGGAAGAAGAAATATCTACATCCAGTATGGATACAGAGTAGATGGACCTCCACAAACAGAATTATACTGTACTCAGCTTTCATGTCACCTCTGTACTAGACCAAATTTTGGGCAAATTATGTTGATGAATTAATCCTACCACAATATGTACTTGAAAAAAAAACAAACCCAACACCACTCTGTTGCCCATTTCTATTTGCTTTTTGAGAATTTTTGTCAACTACATCACAATTTACAGACACTGCTTTTACAGTCAACAGCTACACTATATGATATTCTTGTTGGACTGAAAAGAAATATTTCAATATACTTTGCTCTCTCCGTAAGACTACACAGACCAGTTTCTACAGGATTCACAACTTCACAACAGTGGAAAATGACTTGTAAGCCTCACACACAAGAGGCACCTTTTAATTATGAATGGCAGAGTTCGACAGTACTAGACAAAAGTATACAAGGTTTATACACATATTTCAAGGCTGGTGAGATTTTAACCTCATACTGATCAAAGTCACATTGAATTTCTGAGGTTTGTAGACCAATTTACAGTGGTGAACCAGCAGTTCTGCCAAGAACAATTTCTAAATATTCTCTCTGGCATCAGTTATTCTTTTGTGTCCTAAGCCAAGACCATATAGTAGTGGCAAGGAAGGCAGAGTAAATCCTATCTAAATTACTTTTCTCTCCCCAGCATTGCACTTTGTAATTTTCTTATGTGATTTAATGGTTGTGAAAAATATGAGTAAAAAAAAAAGAGATAGTCTGGTTACATGCTGATTTACATCAATTCAAAAAAAATCAACAGTTTTATGGAAATGAGTGAAATCTTATTATTAATTCAGAACCAGATTGAGCAAAACATCAGTTCTGAATGATCTTCGAAATGTCTTTTTTGAAAACACTTCCCTTATTCCTGAGTTTTAAGAAAACTTCTCAACTATTTTCTGTAAATGATATTTCTAAGCTTTCTTATAAAATTTCTTATATAAAATTACATAGCATAATTTTATCTTATCTTTACCTTATCTTTACCTTATCTTATCTTTACCTCTGCCAGTGCAATTAAACACTGAACTATTCTGAAGCAGCTTCACTGAAATTTTCCAGCTTATTAAGTGAGTCACACAGAAACCTTGAATAACCAACAGATCAGTTGGGGATGTCCTCTCTTTGTTGTATTCAAAATAATATCCTGTATGTTATTTCTCTTTGAAGAGAGAAAGAATTGGAAAAGAAATTGGAAAGAATCCTCTTTAGCCAGTTTCTTTTCATCAGAAGCGTATCAGAAATTTCTTGTATTAATAAGTCACACGTCAAATTTCCTTGCACGCTTGAGGTAGAGAAGCATCAAATCCAAATGTCAACTCCTTCATGTCATACTTTACTATGATAACTCCAGAGAGGGTTATTTTACAACATCACACATTGTGAAAATGATTCAGCTCTTGCAGAATGGAAATGAATACTTTTATAAAACCATATATTCATTGCTAACTATCAAACCCACATTTTCACTGCTATATATCACCATTTCCTTGAAGGCAGTGCCAGACCATAATTTTAAAGACACACACGGAAATATAAATACATATATATATATATACGCATACATGTCTAAGTCTATATACACATTTGTTACTCCTTCAGAAGTACACTCTAACTATCTAATGTACTAAAGCTTTATCTTGAAACTTTACCCATTTATCAGAACTCGTTGTGCTACACTGACTATATACAAAGGATAAAATGACATTATCTGCCAAAGAGGTTCTGATCTGGCCTTTGCTATCAACTGGTTACCTCAAAGTTATACCTTTTATAAGCATACCTTTTAAACGCTTCATATTGCATGGAGAACACCTTCGTTTTTATGCAAGAGTCATTTCAAGTTCCAGTACAGGGTCTTTTATGAATTTTGTGCTACTCTGTCTGGACTACTACACCAGACTGTCAAAGCTGTACAGCTACCCACACACAGACCAGGGATACAGCTGATCCCATTGAGATGTATACAGTTGTCTGGGCTGCTAAACACCCCCAAAGCTCCCGCTGACATCCCTGGGAGCTGACAGAAATAAGACATTCCTAGAAGAGGCTAAAAACTTGTAGAGTTCTCTTTATTCTCAGGTATGGCACACAAAACCAGGGTGCACGTACAAAGTAAGAGCAAGCTGTTCAAGGGGGTGATAAAGACTGTTTTGTTATCCTTGATGGAAAAAAAAAAAAAACAAACCTGCTGTTATTGAACGTGGTCAGCTGGTTTATATCTGTGTTGGCTTCAGTGACTTTAATAAAACTACCCAGATTAATGTCCAGTGAAACCCCATTTCCAAAATCACAAAGTTATTAAAAACGGGATGGATGAACAAAATTGCCTTTATAACTTTCTGTTGCCAAAAGTCTATCAGATAAATTATATTTTCTGGGTTTCCCAGTATTTTGGTTTGCCTTCTTGAGCAGAAAGACCATTTTGGACATAAAGAATTCAGCTCAAGGTGAGTCTCTGCAGCTTTACAGACATTGGACAGTAGCTTTTTAATTAAAACAAGGTTACTTGCAGACTAAATTGCATGAGTAGGAACATGAGATGTTAATCTTCTATATTTTAATGTGAAATACCACTGGCATGGGGGAAGGGACTTTCACCCTTCCTTACAACCTTCAGCCATGGCTGTGCAAGTTCCTAGGTTTGCTAGAAATTGGATCACTTAAATACAGAATAACTAATAGGAAAATTACTCCAATACAACTGTTAAACAGATCTTTAAGCTGTTTTTCATTGATGTTCAAGTGATATTAATTGAACTTTCCCCAAGTATAAACAGAATATAAATTATTGACAAAATTAGTGTTCTAAATTGTTACAATTTTTAATATTTTACTACAGTAACTCTGAAAAATGACCTCTAAGGTTCTATCTCTGCCTCTCAGTTGACTTTACTTTGATAGCTATGTTAATATCTCCCTCTAGTGGTTTTCTGAATAATAATATTGATCAGAAACCCCTCCAGTGTACAAGGTCGTGAATTTTATTCTCATTAGATCAGCAGCTCTGTTGGTGTATGTGTCACTAGCAGAGCAGTGCACATTCTCGCACTGTTAAATGCAACACACTCTAAAATGCCAAGGCTTCCGTTATGAACCCCACCGTCTGCACTAGGGCAACCCACAGGACTTCACGTAGCCATGTATTTCATTAGAAGAAAAACCCATCTTCTGCTGTAATTAGGAAATAAATATATTTAGGTTGCAAAAAAATAAAAAGCAAAAATATTATTTTAGTCAGTTCATACTTTGACCAAATAGATGTGCACTGTTACCTTCCATCATTAACATTTGCGCTCCTCTGAATGCAGCGAAAACTCCTTACTCTTCTCAATAGCAACACTCCCGTAATTCCTACACAGAGTACTCATCTTTGCTATCCCTAAGTACAGCTTTGTTTTCACAGGCATTATTGTCTCTTCTAATTACTTTGTACCTTTGTTTGATTTTGTGCAGAAAACTTTCTTCTTCTGTTTCATTTTAACAGGGACAAGGGAAAAATGTTCTGAAGGGCATGACACTGACTCAGCTGGCACATGTGCAATCTCAGATTGCCCACCATATAAACCCAACAGGTTCCTATGTCTTTGTATTTGCTATGGGAGAGGCCCTTGTGTTCTGTAATTCTGATTTACAAGGCTCCAGACAGGTTTTTTTTCATATTTAATTTCCCTTGATATTGTGATAATAATTTGCTCCAGATTGTTGATTTTGAGACTTGCTTCGTTCTATTTTCTTTTGTATGCGTAGTAAGTAAAAAAGTCTGCTAATTTTTTAAGCCAAGAACAAAACAAAAAATTAGAGAAAGTAACTGACCATCCACACCACATGAAAACTTGCAGAAAAATGAAGATAGGAGCAGACGTCATGGCAGAGGCACGACTCGTTGTGCATATAGGCTGATCCTATTAATAACGGGCAAAGTAGCAAGTAGAGGAAAGGAAAGAAAACACAGAAAAAAAGACACACAAGATGAGATATCATGCAAATTGCTGGCAGTTAGCAGAGTTAATGTGAAAGCATCCACCCAAGAGCAAGAGATTCACAGCAAATTTTGCAAATAAACTTAACCAAAACAATCCACTGTTACAAAACACATGACTTACACACTGATTAGCACATCAAGCTAGTGAGCAACAGTTGTACTTTCACACACAATGGTATCAGAAGGATTTGGAATATTTACAATGGCCAAATAGCTTTTGGATGGTTTTTCAACTTTGTTTAAACTTTGCTGGCCAGGAAGAAGACTTTCTTTTTAAAATAAAATTTGGTTAGTAGAAAAATGCATTGAATATCATCTGTCTGGACTTTCCTGACACTACTGTCATCTCAGTAGTTGTGCCTCATTAAAGAAAGCAGAGAATACACTGGAGCAAAAATTGGTATACTGCAGTTACAGCCAACTAACTGCACTAGTTCTGAATAATCTTTCCTTTGCAGAAATGGGATGAGGCATTACAAAAGCATTTTAAAAATATTTATTTTATATAATGGCAGGTACTTCTCTGTTCAGTACTTTTTGCCTTGACATTTATTCTGAACAATCTGAATTCAACATATTCTCTTTCACACAGTCTTTTGAAAGGTAAGACAGAGAGTATATTTGAGATATTTAATATATGTGGCACAGATAATTTTTCTCCTTTAAAACTGTAATGTATGCAATAGAAGGAGTACTAAACAGCATAATTTTGCTCATTTCAGTAAAGCAATACACATTTATACCTGTTAAGACTGTGACCTAAGGTCAGTACATATTTGCACAATTTCTAAAGGGAACATCCTAAACCAGATAGAAAGTTTTAATAATTTAACATCTTAAATAATATTTGTAAACACTAATGTAAAAATACTACTTCTAAGCCAGGATTAACATCTATTTGTGAAAGCAATAAAAGAACTGAATTTCACAGCACCCTACAGAGACCATTGGTTTTATGTTCGCTGACCTTTTTTTTTTTAGTAGGAATCATGTGTGAAAGTGCAATATTTATAAGAAAAGGCAGATAAGAAAGCAGCTGCTAATTTTATGTTAATAATGGGATACTTGAAATAGAGTGGCTATGGTCTAGAGTGAACAGTATGTTTAGTGATAAGGAGGTTACCAGGCACCAAGGTACATTTAAATGTAGTTTTCACTGCTCTTCTAAAACAGCTCTACAATTGTTTTAAAGATAGTCCTAAAGTCTTACAAGTTTTACCTGTTTCGCTTCATCAAAACAGACATCAGGACCTTTTCTGTATCTAGGCTGTTTGACCATTTCACAGGGATTTGGCCCCTCATCTGTTTCTCTGGTTAAGGAGCATGACTGGCTTTGGTGCATTGTACAGTAGCAGGATTAACATTCTGCTTTTACTTTCATGGGAGAAGAGAAGGTTTAAGCTAATTCAGACAGCACTGAAATAAACATCAGTAGTCAAAGTTCCTTGTTTAAATTAAATAAAATCAAATCACACCATCCCTCCAAATAAATCAACATCAAATACCCATTTTTACACTGCTTTAATCTAGAAAATAAACATCCTGCATGACTTTTTAGAACCAGTACTTCCAGAACCGTACACAAAATAAAAATAAAAGCTGAGGGTTTTTAAGATTTTCTGTATTGCTTTTATTACCATTGCATAAATATTACAGAAAATATTTGAAACTTTTGATGGTGCTGATTGGTTATAGCATATGTTACTGTTGAGTTATTCTGCTAAAATGAAGATACACAGTAAAAGCGAGGAAGCCTATTTGGAAAAGTACTGCTATAGACAGGCTGAAAATTGCAGTAAACGCTTATAAGAACTATCGGTTTTATTTTGTGTACACCTATATTAACCCAAATATCATAGATAAGATCATCCCACTGTAGGCTTTGATAGTACATGACAGAAAACCTAATCAGATCTCATTAGCATTTCAGTGATGAAGGCAGACAGAGAAAATGCTGTCCAAGCTAACAGCAGAACAGCAGCATAGAAATGGGAGCAGTGACATGCTATTAATTAGCTCACTATAACCTGAGGTTACGTCTCTGAAATCTGAAATCCATAATCACTGATATTTAAGTGTATATACTATACTTCACATTTGCCACAGGCTAACAAGGGACACAAATCATTGCAGCACACTTGAAAGGCACTGATACAGAATCATAGAATCATAGAATGGTTTGGGTTGGAAGGGATCTTAAAGATCATCGAGTTCCAACCCCCCTGCCATGGGCAGGGACACCCTCCACTAGCCCAGGTTGCTCAAAGCCTCATCCAGCCTGGCCTTGAACACCTCCAGGGATGGGGCATCCACAGCTTCTCTGGGCAACCTGTTCCAGTGCCTCACCACCCTCACAGGAAAAAATTTCTTCCTAATATCTAACTAAAATCCGCTCTCTTTCTGTTTAAAGCCATTACCCCTCGTCCTGTCACTCCACTCCCTGATAAAGAGTGCCTCCCCATCTCTCCTGCAGCCCCTCTTAGGTACAGGAAGGCTGCAATAATGCCTCCTCGGAGACTTCTCTTCTCCAGGCTGAACAACCCCAACTCTCTCAGCCTGTCCTTGTACGGGATGCGCTCCAGCCATCTGATCACATGGTAAACTGCAAAACCGCCTTCTGCAGAAACCTGCTTATATTACCATTCAGCATGTTAAGCTTTGCTTTCAGCTTCTGCTGTTGGCAGTACACACATTAAAGCTCAGCTAGAGTGTTTTAAAAAAAATGAGCACCAAAACTTTACTTATCTTAGCAGCTCTAACTTACACTTGAAGCAATCCTACTCATATGCTATCGTGGAGTTCTACAGCAGCTTCATTGCAATGAGCGGAGATGCCCAATGGAGGAGAAGCAAGAGGACAGGGAATTTATTTCTACTGATCTAACCTGTCTTCATTCAGATGTTACCAGACTCACCTCCCCTTTCCTCTGCCAGGGCCCAACTGAAAGGGAAGTCAAAACATAGAAATATTCAAAAAGACTATGTGCACAAGTGAAGCTGTACCAGCCAGCAGGAAACAGTCTAATAATAACCACCTGAATAGCACCCAAAGGTCATTCTGCCCGCTTGGGTGATGTTACGCTACATCTGCATTTCACAATGTACCTTACTTACAGAACAGAGAGAATAGCTTAGTACTGCAGAGTTGGAACAAAAATAAAACAGTTCATTTAGTCGACATCTATAAGCCCACCCAGCTGCTCCAGCCACCATCTGAGGTCGTTTATTGCTTTCTAGAAGGTTGGGGCCCCACAGGGAAATGCAAGTAACATGCGCATTTCCCATCAAACGTGCTTCATTTTCTGTAGTGAGTCCTGTCTATAAATTCAGACAGTGGCAACGGTTAATCAAGCTGTCATGGCCTGGAGCCAATTAGAATGTTAGGCTGTGTTTACATAGTTCTGTGATGACACGGATATAGCTTCCACCCCATGTAACTTCCTTTTCAGCCCAAGCATAGATGGAATTCTGGTTTTACTAATACAGCAATGAACGCGTTGCTTGTGCCAAAGAAACAGAGTCATCTCCTCCACCATCTGCTTTTATTTCAGGAATGGGAGACGTCTCAACTAATTTCCTGACAGGGACAAAGGTACTACTAATTGTTTTCCATATTCTGTCATAATAATCCAATTATGATTTGATTTACCATCTCTGGCATACTACCCTGAAGCATACATAGCAGAGAAAATTTGAGGTGCATTTCTCCTGGCCTAGAATACCTGTATGTTGGTTTTATTTTATTTCCATCACTATCACCTGTATGTATCTACAGAAGTGAACAGGTTAGGGGCATAGAGATTGACATGAAGGTGGTTGTAAGTTAGAAAAACTTTTCATGTGCTTTTAATTTTAATGCATGTGTTGCAAGGACTCTGCTTAGCACATATGCCACCTATGTCTTCAGCCAGCTTTGAAGAACTTCTATGATAGCAACTGAATAAACTCTAGCAGTTGATGGTTAAAGCAGTTTCCATGGGAAGTAAGTAGTTCTCATGGGCATTGAGAACACGCTGAAGTGCCTCCATCACTTTGTCTCAGTGTTGAAGGCATCAGCGCAGCATCCTAACTTTTCATGACCAAACATGCTTATCTTGGTGCTTCCCTTTGTTTTGGTTACTTCTCCAGACAGATGTACCCTTGCCTTTTCTAAAAGCTGAACAAGCCCAGGAGTTTTAGTCTCCCCTTGCGTGTCCTGTGCTCCAGATGCCAAGCACCCTGGTGACCCTTCACTGGGCATCCCCCAGTAAGTCAGTATGGTACTGGGGAGTCCCAAGCTATACACAGCACTTCAGATGTGGTCTCATCAGTGCTGAAGAGGTAGGATGGACGCATTCTCCCAACCTGGTGACTACACTCTTGCTAACATAGCCCACGACATAACTGGCCTCTTTATTGCAAGGGACAGTGCCAACTGATGTTCAACTTCCTGTCCATCATGCTCCTGATGTCCTGTTCTGTAAAGCTGTTTCTAGTTACTCCAGCCCCAGCCTGTCCAGCTGCATGTCATTATTGTGTTCTGGATCCAAGACTTTGCATCTGCCTTTTAGAAACTTCCTTAAGTTCCTGTAAGCCCATTTCTGTGTAGGTCCTCACAAATAACACCTTTGCTCTCTATCTCAATGACGCTGCTTCAGATCATTTGTGATATCAGCCACAAATATCTCCTGTTTCAAGTACTACAATGGCAAGCATGCTACTAATGTGTACAGAAACAGGCCATTTTTTTTTTCACATATATTCCAGTATATCATAGCCAAAAATCAATCCACACTGCCAAATAACTTTATTTTAAAGGATACCCGGCTTCTCTGCTTGCATCAGTGGCTTTGGGTCACAGGAGCGACACAGCAGTTGGCTGTCACTAATAATGAATACCAGATTGGTGTTTGAAATCTTCTCTGCATGATAAAGTCTGGAAAAAAAGCCAACAAAAACCTATGTTTAAATGAAGCAAGGAAACCCATATTTGAGGACACATAGCACTGGAATAAAAGTAATCCAGCTTCACAGACACAGTCTGCCTGCTACTGTTTATCTTTTCCATTAATGAACAGCAAGACACACACAACAAATTCAGTAATCTTTTTGACATTTCCATGGTTCCCCTTTTCAACCAGACTTAGCGGAAAAAATGGAAGAGAACATAAAATGACCCTAATTGAGTTAGCAGCTAGCTCTGTACTGCTACAACAGTAGCTGTAGTGAGAAATAAAATCAGTTCAGCATCAACCCTGACAACACTGAGAAAACCCCCATTCACAAAAACAAATAAACAAAACCCCAACTCATAAACCTGTCTGTAAGGAGGGAGAGAAAGAGTTTTAGGGCATGTATGTTGTGTGTTGGATGTGCATTTGTTGTATTTTTATGTACATCTAATTCCACAAAAGACCTTTAAGTCACTATGGTCGGTTTCCATTTACAAATAATTGAATAGGCAGCATTATACCTTTAAGATATAGATACTACACTTCATGCCTTAGATACTAAAGGTAAGGGTATTTCTGTATTTTTCAAGGATAATTTTCAAGTACAATTTAAATTTACTGGAGAGGCAGACAGACCTTTGACAAAGCAGAGAAAAAATCCTTAATATTTCTTAGTCATTAACAAAATACATTCTACCTGTCAAAGAGAGGTAAATTCAGGACAGTCTAACAGGTTAATTGTTTTATGGATTCTAAATACATTTTCATACACATATAAAGTAAAAAGCAAATCTTTTCATACAGGTGGGTACCACTCTATAAGCAGAGGTTTCAGAATTCAGGTGAGAACTGAAATAATTATTTCTGAAATTTCACAGATGATGAGTTTGTACCACTGATTGGGTACACCTACAGGACAAAATACCTGTTAATTAAATAACTAATGTTGTAATTAAATATTTGGTTGCTTTAAATAGCTTAAATTGTCCTTTCATACTCATTCCCATACTGCGGCACTATTTTTGCAATGTTAGCATAATTTCTACAGCCTTTAAAGTATAACGAACTAAAGAACTCTTCTGAAAACTCTCCAGATTAAAAGAAAAAAAAAAAAACAAACCAAACACAATCAAAACCCAAACCAAAAAATGCTACAAATACCAAAACCACGAGCTTAATGAGTTCTCTGCACAACGAGGAACCCCAGAAACACAAACTAACAACATGGAGGAGGAAGTACGGAAGTGGGAAAAAATATCTGGGTGTTTTGGCTGTATTCACCATTCTCCAAACTCTCTTTTTTTCCTGGTTTGAAATATTGTCTTCCAGGAGTTTAAAATCTGTCTGTTTATTTTAATTTCAAAGACTTTTTGGAAACTCTTAATGTATGCAAACTTTCAACTCAGTAGGCTTCTGTATGAAAAGCAGAATTAGGTCTAAGTTGCTATGTTTCTGAATTATCCAAATTATTTAACATAACATTAAACATCATCTTTAATAGGCACAATGAGCCTGGAGAGCAACTCTTTTAATCACAAAACATAAGAGTATGGTTTGCTTAATAAGACCCACAGCACTTAAATCATCAGCACTATTGACTAGAAGGTAAATTTGAAGATAAATTGCATAAACTTCTTGGCCATCAAAAATTATAATACATAGCCAGACTAAAGAAAACCATCTTCTTCTGAATATTGCAGAACACCTTTAAGTTCACATAATAAATTAAAAGAAAATAAATTGTAACAGAGATAGAACACAATTTTCATGGAGCATATACAGACTATAAAACAAAATTTGTCTAAAATATTTCTATAATTCTTCAAGTATTACAACTAAAATTAATTCTAAACCAATACAAAGAGAATGCATTTTATCATTTTACTGCTTATATACTTCTCTGTCTTGCTTATGTAAGTTTGGTGTAATTAATCCAAAATATAATTTTGTTCTTATAATAGTGTCATTATCTTCTGTAAAATAAATGCATACCCAAAAGTTATTATTTATATTGAATAAAATTTACCTGGAGCAGTTTATACAGTCTACAATCCCACCAAAAGATTTATCATCATTTTCAAAGAAATACTGAGTTTGCTCAGTGATACAGCTTGTTTTAGGCAGGGCAGCACCAAAATCATCATCTTCCATATCAGCTGACAGAAAGAAGAAAATAAATAAATAAACCATGACATTTTTAAGTCACAGACACAATGGGGGGATCCAAATATGGCCCCCGGCCTAGATTCTTACCTTCTACTTCACTCAAAGTTGACTCTTTAACATTCTCTTGACTTACCTGCCTCAAGAAAACGTGGAAAAGTCAAGCTCAAAAACAGCTGCTGTAAGATAGACCTGAACACAGAAAGACAATATATATTTGTTAAAAGCTTTTTGTCTTTGTATTTTACTTGGTCCTTAAAACCTACTTAAGTAAGAGTAATTAACAACAGGATCATCAGGACTAAATATGCTTTAGACAGTTATTAAACCTGTGTCTCTTTAAACATTACAGTTTAACTCTGGTTTTCTTTCCATGCTTTCTCCCTGGTCTTTCACACTAATCTTTTACTCCACTGTAGACCTTTGCTCTCATTTGTGCCCATAACTCACATAATGGAAATATCATCATGCCACCCATGTCCTCCTTTTATACCTCTGTGGGAGGTGGAAGAGGCATGTAGATGTTCCTCTAACACTTAAACCACCCAGGACTCCTTTTGAACACACTCAAAGAAAACGGTCCTGAATTAGGTACTTTACACTGATTAAGGCTCATTAAAGTGCTGAAAAGGAGACAAACACTGGAATATTACAAGTATATTATAAAAATGATTACTGTAGCAGTTGACTTTTAAAATCATCCCTATTCCTGCTCTTGAGGTATGGAATACATTTTCCTCCTAGATGCTGCCAAAACATTTAGGCTTGAAGTACTCCATTTATTTCAAATTATTTTTCTTCACTCACAGTCACATTTTTCCTATTTTATTTACTTGTGGCAAGTACCAGCTTGGCATATCCATGCTCTCTTTCTCCTCTGCCAACCTGTCAAAACAGGAATCACAACAGGTAGGTTTTCTGACTCCCTGCTAAACCTTCCTAAGTTGTAGTTTGCTCTTGTCATGTTTTAGGTTTGCTTCTACCTGCAAATATGACCTGATCCCTCCTCATCTCATTCTGTTCTAACACCTGTTCTGCAGAGAGAAGGGACTGTATAACTTTACTCAACCCCCAAGATTTTTTTCCTTTTCTCATTATCCAGCATGATCCATGTGTAACAAAACTGAACCTGCCTGTCACCTTTCCAGTGGAGCTGTTGCCTGAAGGAGCTGCGGGTTCACATCCACAGCTTTGTGCCTTCAATCATCAGATGGACAGTGCACCAACTGTCACGGATGAGAAGAGACCTGATGCTCTTCAACAGTGATGCAACTTGCTGACAGAAAACAGTAATCCTTCATAAGGGCTTACCACAGAACTTACAGGGAACTGAATGGAAAAGGCAGCCTGGGAAAGCTCTAAAATCTTCTGAGTTAAACGAGCATGAAGGAGAAACAATATGTACTCTCTTAACTAAATGCTGATGTATCCCATATAAATTTTGAAAATTATCACTCACGCTTTTATCCTACATGGTTGCATAAAACTCTATAGTTTTCTTTAATAACCTGGTTTCTCTTATTTCCCTGCATTTGCTTTTGCCAGGTGCCTCACTAAATCCATTTTTGGTCAGCCCTTTTCACTCTGCCTGCTTAATGGCCTTCTCTGCCTGCTTCTGACCTAGATTCCATTAAAAACATGTCCATAGAAAATACTTTCATGTAGTGCTTTCAAGTTAAACATCACACAAAATAAACCTCAGGTCTAAATTGAGTCCAGACCACTGAGTCTGATTTGAACACTGATAAACTAAAGTTTCTCTGTTTGAGAAGAGCTCAAGTTTCCCTTCTGGATTACTGCCCATCTCCAGTTTTTGAGGTTTGCTGTTGTCCAAGAAAACCAAGATTTTTGCTGTTGCTGTTAATAAAATGTAACCAACAAAAAAACCCCAACATACATTCTTCCTAGTGCTATCAGTGAGAAAATCACGATATGTTTGTTCAACTGCTGTATATTTAACTCTTAGCTTCATGAAGTAGGTAATTTACTCTGGCTTGATAATAATTTTAAAAAATAAGCATTATGAAACTGTAGGAAAAGGAACAGGCAGTCTCCAAGGGTGCAATTCACACCAATGCAAGAGTATCACATCAGCCCCAATTACTTATCCCAGTTTGGTGCTGGGTGAGTAGCTGAAAGGGGTGTCTGTCTACATGGCTCTGAAATATGTAAAATTATTTCTGTGGCTATTGTTAATAATGCACAAGCCAAAGTTAAAGCTCCTAAATGGATCTTTAGTTTTAAAATTTATCCAATATTGTGATTGTGAAAGATAAACTTTATTGGTACAATCCTGCCTCTCTCAGGGTCAGTCCCAAAACTCTACAAAAGTTCAAATACACCAACTTTTTCCCTCAATGATAGAAAATGCTAGGACTTATGACTACAAAATTATACAAAAAGCTTTATATATATTTGCTTCCTTGAAACAGTTCAGTAGTGCTTTTTCCATCCCATTTCAAAGAAGCCATTAATAATTACGAGAACCTTTAACCAAACTGTGCCATCAGACAACATATTGGTTATCCTGAAGTCTGAAGCAAGACTTTTTTTTATATTTTGTAATAGATAAATTTCATGTGCTTTTGTAAAATTATTCACTGAAGAGCAAACATTGATTTTCTTTAGAGTTCTTGCTAGAAAAAGGGAAAACTGACATTCTGAAATAGGGAACCAAGTGATCAATAATTCTAAATGTAATAATTCCATCTGAACCTTCACAGCTGCCAATCAGACTTAGACCAGTAATCCCAACCCTGCTTTCTGAAGCTGATTTTGTAGAGTTGGAATACATCATCACAAAGCCTGGCAAGATCAGTTTTGAATTTAACTGTGGAAAGAACACTGAATTTTCCAAGGAGTTTGGAGACACAGCTAAGAATTCTCACCATGAGAAACTGCAGAAACAAAGGGCTCAGTGCAGTTTTGGGAGGGTGGGAAGAGGAAGAAACTAATACAGTCTCAACCTACTGAATAATTCCTGTTTGGACATACAGATTTCTGACACATTTGCACTTACCAGGCAGCTGCTGAAGCCCACCATCCTAGGTGCAAAATATCTGTTATCGTAGGCTGGGAAAAAACCAAGAGAGATTATGTTGTTTGTATAAACACCTGCACACTTTGAAGGGAATGTCAATCTCCTCACAGTGGACTACTGACCACGTAAGCAGAACGAAGTCCAGCTCCTTGCTTTGGTTCTTCTTCAGGATCACAGACCGATTGGTAGTCATACGACTTGTTAAAGGCATACAGGGACATGTTAATCAGGTTTCGCATCAGGCCAGGATCAATTTCACCAAAGAATCTTCCAATCTGACAAGGGAGAATATACAGACATAAGTTAAAATACTTCTAAATGATTGTTTCATAAAAAAGTGAACAGTTCTGATTCTCCCCTTCCACACACACTATTTTTCCCTCTACACAACACATCTGTTTGTGGTGTTTATGTATTTATTTTTTTGTTTGACTATTGCTCTCCTAAAAGCCTAGTTGGAGAACACCAGTTAGACAGTAATTGTTAAATGCACTATCAATGAGACCACCCTGCTTGGGGAAGAACAAGAAGAATATGAGAAAGAAGGTGTGTAGATGTCATATTATTTGCCCTGACCATTATAGGTCCAACAGCCTAAGGGCAGTGCACAACGAACACAACTTGGTAGAGGTCTGGCATCTTTAACCATAAATAAGACTTTGAAAAAGACTAACAAAATAACTGCAATTTTTGACATGGCAATTTTTTTTGCAATTCAGAAATGTTTTCAATTTCTGACACATTTTTCAAACTCCAATGGGCATGATATGTATAAGATTATATTCTTAGGGTGAGCTGAGACTGAAATACTATTTGTTTCTTATAAAACATCTCCCTATTTTGTTTCATGTGCTTTACTTAAAAATGTGCATACCTGTTGTGTATATTCATCCCGATTTGACATCAAAAGAAATCCACCATCGTCAAGGATAACACAGTCCACATGCTATTATAAGAAAGTAAAAAATGTTTTGCAGAAAGGATTTGTCAAGAGAACACTCTGTAATAAACTATTTTTTATTCAACACTTCAGAAGTATCTTCAAATCTGTGTGGCTCAGGCCAAATCACAACCCCATAGCCAAGGGCCAACACTAAGCTATAATAAGTAGCATTATCAGTATTATAAAAGTTTGTACAGATCAAAGGCTTATTTGTGGCTTAATTTCATAAAAGTTATTTTGTAAATTCTTATTTGCTCAATACTTTGTTAGCTCTAAGAGTACTATCCTTATTAAATCTGATTATAATTGAATCTCAGCTCATAATAAGGGACAACAACACTTCATGTGCTTCAGCCATGCTTAAACTTCTTTTCCGTTTGCAGTTTTTAACGGTAAAAGTCTCAAGGGCAGACTCTCAGCTTACTAGTTGTGCTTATTTTCACTTGCCAAGGACTGTAGTAGGTTTCTTCCAGGTGTCAGGTGCAGGAATGGGAAGCTCACTGGTTCCCTACGCTTCACACTTTGTAAAAGATCCTTGCAGTCAGAGATAGCTGCGAGGCCAAACAGATAACCTCCCAGGGTACCCTGTCTGCTGTAACTCCTGCATTTAACGGTCTTCACACGCCACAAAAGAACTCACAGAAGACCTGAGCAGAGAAAGCTTTTAAGCACATGGCAGAATCTGATACTGTGATAGCCCCTGAAGCGGTGCTCTGCTGAGCGCTCGCTGAGCTGTGGGATCCCCAGATCCTGAATGGGCTGGAAACAGAGGGCAGGAAGATGACTAACGGCTGTTGAAGGGTACATCATGTACTCTGGTGCTTTTCAGTTTGCATTTACCCTTCTCTAAGGTACTTCTAGTGTTCTTTTTCTCAGATTTTTTTTTAAATTATTTCCTTTCCTCAGTATTTGCCTCTTGCTTTGAAAATTACCGTTATATCTTTATCACATTTTTCTTCACATTGTTCTCTATTGCTCCTACTCTATTTTTTCTTCCCTCTAGCTGTCATAACCTCATTGCAATGATCCTTGTAATGACCACTTCACCTGACTTTAATACCCTCTTTCACCCCCCCAATCTTCTTCTCTCTCTCAAGACGCAAATGACTAAATCCTGTTTTCTGTAAAATTAACCCTCAAAGAATGACAGAATCAGTCTTAGATATATCTAGAGAGAATGAGTCAATTTTCATAATCTGCCTGATATTCATAAACTGAACATATTCTTACCATACTGTTTCTCTCACAGCCACAGATTTCACTGTTGCACTAGAAAACAGAAAGATAGTAATCTTCACAAAAATGTTTCAAAAGAAACTGTATTTTGCAGTTACATGAATCAATCAAGACAAGAAGTGATTTGATTTTCAATCTGTATATTAATTTAAATTATTTTTGAGTGTGTGTTGCTTATCACAAATATGTCTGTGAACAACCTGTATCCAGTAATTATCAACAGCACAATCTCAACTGTCTTTCACAAAGTCTCTGATACATCTCCCTTTTTAAGAGTGCTCAATATATTAGAGATAAATACCTTAGGGGACTTGTCAGGATGTCAGTGTTGTGAGTATAAGGTAAAGGAGAAAGAACATGTACATTTCTATGTGTTCGGGGTACGGAAAGAAAGCTTAGAGAGTATGCTGCCAAGTATCTTTTTTGACCATGAAAAGTTTCACCAGTCTCAAAGTATGGGAATCTCATGTGATAAAGGAAGCCCATCATCTCCAGTTAGCTTTTATGGCTTTGATTACTAACACGTTTTCCTCTTTTTCTTGCAATATGTGCATACACACACATAACTGTTTCCTTGTGTTATGTCGTGAGCAAAAGAGCTACGAGACAATGCTGTAGTCATTCATCTCTAATTCTGAGATATTTCTCTTCCTTTCTCCTTTTCAGTTATGTTTTTTTGTCCTTAACTGTTCTGACATTTAGGCAACGTATTTGTCTGCTCCTTGAACTACAGCTCTCACACCTACAACGTCTAGACATAGTTATTGAATCCCTTAATATACAACCAACCAAGCAACATTGCCTCATCCAATTGTTCCATAACTGTCTTCACTTTGTGTCTCTCCCAATGTACTATTAATTCCTTAGTTTTTCCTTCAGTTTAGCCTCCTTCCCACTGACACCTAAGCTTTATATGTAAGGAATGAAAGGGTTAAGCACCTATTTTATTAAGTTCTGCTAAAATGCTATGATGTTAGTTGCCATATAAATCCTTATTGTTTACTGCTTACCCATCCTCCATATTAAATAAAAATAGATTCACCTTTTTTTTTTTTTAAACCAATTCTTTTGCAGATTTTATTCATTTTAATCTTAGCAGGGGGCCTACTGGCTGGAATATGTCATTTTTCTTTGTCTTTATCCATGTTCTATAATTATGAAAGCAAGACACGTACAAAATACAGCCTGTTTCAACATAGATTTATTTTTTGCATTTGGATTATTTAAATACCACAACTACTTGGCAACTGCGCATCAGTGTGACTCTGGCACAAAGAGCTAGTTGACCTATTTGTATCTGAAGGTTTGAGAAATGCAAATAAAGTTCAAAAAAGACTTGGTCAAGTGCTTACCAGGCTCTTGATTGTGGTGTTTGTGAAATTTTTCATCCAGCTGCTTGCGTCAATTTTTATTCCAACAACTAACAAGAAATACATGAAAGTCTTTTTTAGTAAAGTAAAAAAAAAAGGTGACTGTAGAATCCTTAAAAAAAATATAATAACAACTAAATTATTAAACTGGAGGAGGATAAAATATGAGTTTTGCTCAGTTGTCTGACCACCAACATCCTTCATGAGACTAATAAATTAAGCACTCTTACTCAAAACACAGCCAGATCTTTGGCTTGATTTCCAATAGCAAGATTAAAACAGTCTCAGAGAAAAGAATGTTATATAAAGTGAAGTTCCTTTGAAATTTCAATTAAATTTCTAATTCACTGTTGAGCAACAACCAAATAACTATTGTATTATGTTTCAGCACTGCTCTATCTTACCTGCTGGTTTCAGAAGCTTCCCATTAATTGTTATTTCCACAGCCTTGCTTACCATAATACCTGATTCATAGCTATTGGCACCACTTTCTGAGAGCATAGAAAGGGGAAAAAGAAAAGGTTAGGGTGATATAAAGTCTCTTCCTCTCAAACTGAAATTAATTATTATTCAAATATCCAAATGATTCAAAAAAAATCTTATTCAAAAGCACTGACTCAGCTGTACTATGCATTTATCACCTGTAATAGCTCAGATCACCAACTTCTGGATGACTAAGAGGAATACTTCTGTTTATTTTTCTTCATTCACTTTTTGTACACTGTTTTACTGCTTCATAGAGTTACTGTGGCCTTTTGTTTCTGCAAACAGAGCCATGAATAGCTTTACGTGTGAGTGGCTCTGTTAAAACCAGGATCAGAGCCAAAGATTTTATCCTGCTGTCGTCTGTGTATTTTTCAATGCAGGGTATACTGACACCACTCACTAACCAACAATTACTTCTCTGATGGACTTCAGCCTGTTTTCAACACTGCTTAGTATGGAAAAGCAAGTTAAGAGTACATTCCCTGGAGCTCTTTGAGGAACAACAAAGGCTTCAGGGAATTTAGTTAATTACCTTGTTAATATTTTATTGAAAAAAGATGCAAGAGGTAAGTATGAAATAACAGCAATAAAAGATCCCATATGTTTAAGAGAGGAGTATGTCATTTGCAGTAGCATCTGCTTTTAGATGAGCTTGGCAAGGTTAATGCTGCTCACATCAGTAACGAGCACTTACTATTGTGCATACAGAGGTTTTAAATATCACAGTATTTCAGACAAACCGGTTTTGGTGAATAACAGCAATTCGAAACAGAATTCAAAAGCAGAGTTTAACTTAAGCAGCAGTGGAGTGGATAGAGTTGTGGACTCTGGACCCTTATACCTGCTCTCCCAAATTGGGTCTGGTGCTGAGGAAGTATACAGAACTTGGCCCAAACAAACCTTTTTAGGTAGTGTTATTGTCCCTGAGTGCAATTTTCTTTCACTTCCTTTAAAAATAATTCTGCCAAAGTACCTTTGTAAAACAGTGTCTCAGTATAATAAATCAACACCACTACTCTGCATGTTTTCAGCTTTCTTAAGTCTGAGCGTAGTATACAGGGCTACCAGAGCCGATGACAAATTATGTCTCTTGTTTAGTGCCTTTTTTCTTAATAATGGGTGATGTTCCTTATGACATGTCCCACTTGCATCCTCTGTTAGTGACCTCAACTGGTATGGGAAACTTCCACAAGTACACTTACATTGCAGTGGCTACCTCTGACATTTCAAAGCAGTGATGACTTACTGTTGTAGTACGGAGCTGTGAAAATATAGTTGTCATTATCTAAACTTCGTTTATAGAAGCTGACTTCATAAGTTTCAGCATTTTCCAACCAATCTTCTCCTGCCCTAATTACAAAAAATTAGTGATCAAAAAAAGACAGTTAGAGTGTCATTAAAGTGCTGCAGGGGTTTTTTTTGTTTTGTTTTTGGGTTTTTTTGGTTTTGTTTTTGGTTTTTTTTTTTTTTATGTTTCACTGTTGGAAATAATGTAAGATTCATTCACATAGTCCTCAAACTTTGTCAGTTTTCACTGGTTAACTGCCAGGTGTAATTATTTAAAAAAATTTGGAAAAAAAATAGCATTTTTGGAACAACAGGGATCATATGTCATAATTTTTAAGTGTATTCAGACAAATACGTACAACAAAATATAAACAAAACTTTGCAGCACATGCTGTTTCTTGAGAAATAATTCCAAAAAAGATTCGATATCATTAGTAACACCAAAACAAAAAAAAATATTTTGGGAATAAAATTTATTGGACTTTTCCCATTTTGGGGAAACAGAATAATCTAAGAAAGTAGATAAATTTGCCATTTACCAGTATATCCGTACTGGTGCCCTCACTATTCCCAGTCACTGATCAGGGTGTTTAGTTGATTATATGACCAATTTCACATTCCCTATTTGCCCTTCAGTAATGATGCATTTGTCTCTCTGGAAGTCCCTGGACCATTTGGTCAGCTCCTATTTGGCTAAAAAAAAAAAAAAAAAAAAAGGACCTACTGCTTTACAGTATTTGCATCCTGCCAAACTGCCAAACAAATGAGTGCTTAGGAGTAATTAGGGATTAGCATGGCCCCGCTATACTACAAGGACACTGCTTTTACTGCTACTCTGCACTGATTAAAAACTTGGATTACAAACTGTGTTATGGAAATAATGTTACAGATCTGTTTCAAGCAATGACATAGGTAAAATCAAAGTAACACAAGACATCCCATTCATTTCATAGTTATCAGTACAGATTAGACTGTAGGAGAAGTTGTTTTTCAGTCAATAAATCCATTACATAACATTCCAACCTTTCAGGTTTCAAAATTACCATATTATACTATTTTAAAGTAAGTTGTTTTTCAGTCAATAAATCCATTACGTAACATTCCACCCTTTCAGGTTTCAAAATTATCATATTATACTACTTTAAAGCAATTGTTACCTTTTTGGGAACACTCTAGTAATTCCACCGTCTGTAACAACAAATTGTGCAACAACTCCATCACTGTCAACAGAAATAAAATTTAAAATAAAAATTGACTTAAACTCTCACAAGTTCGTATGTCAAGGGCTGCCATTTAAGTGCACATTTGTGAATAAAAAATCTATCCTGCATAAACATTCATTGTATATCTGTATATACGCACATGCATATTATTTTATTATCAAACTTTGAAATGCATCAAAAAATCACGGTCAAGAAAAAGAATACTTACAGAGACAGTTTACTCCAATAATTTTGGGCAAGCTCATTTGTAAATCCTGCGTCCAGCAAAACTCTAATGACCATATCAGTATTACCTATCAAAAGAGTTAAGACACTCTGAAACCATATGACATGGAGTTTCATTAAACAGCAAAAATGAAATTCTGAGTTCTCAAGATGCTACAGCCACAAAAATTAGGCTATTTGTATCAGACCTAATGTCTAACTTCCAATTATGTCAAGTAGTTACTGATAAATAGATTGCTCTCACACTGTTGATGCCACTTTTCCTTCATTGTATCCTAAAAAAACTATCTTCTAATGTCTAACTTCCAATTATGTCAAGTAGTTACTGATAAATAGATTGCTCTCACACTGTTGACGTCACTTAAACTTTTCCTTCATTGTATCCTAAAAAACTATCTTTGTGTCACAGGAATAAGCAAGGTGATAAGGGTACAGGTCCCAGCTTTGCAAAGTCCCTATGTTAAATTTGGAAATTAAGCTATTTTTAAAGCATGTTGTAATTCAAACAGTTTTTATCTCAGGTTATGCAGTGAAAAAACACATAATTCTTAGTTATACTTACTCTTACATGCTACTAAAACAGAGATAACTCAACTACAACATAGCTACATTTAAATAAATTTAAAAACTATAAATTCAGTTAAGTCCCAGTCACTCAGAAAAACTCCTATTTGCCCTCTGAAGGTGGGTACAGGGAAATAAACTCATTTTGAATTAGTGGCTTAGGTGGATATGTCATTTTTAAACATCTTGGGAAAGATGGTCTGAAGTCAGTGCTTCTCAAGCATCTTTTTCAGTACCACTTTGCAAGAGAAAGTTCTAGGAATGGAAAACAGAAGCAAGCAAACACTTTAATACAGATTTTACCACTATGGAAAATAAACCAGGGCTAAACTGGAACTGAATCTAGCTCCTGGTCTTCAGTGTCACACCGTAAATCAGTGTTGATAGATCAGTTGTTCCATGACTGGAACCTGCAGCTCTGAATTCCGCCAAACCTCAGCCGCTCAGCCTTGCTGAGGAGACTAAAAACTCCTTCTGGGGGAAAATAAAAATAAAACCCACCAACTTTTCTTCAGTTTTGCTCCAGAGAGGGCCATGACATGCTGACATCTCAGACATCTCTGACTCTCACATTCCAGAAAAACTATATTGAACTTTAAAAAAAAAAAATGACCTAATTCAATCTGTTTTCACAAATCAGATCAATAGGACACGTTATTTGGGTACTGAAAAGCTTTGCAAGCTTTAGCAAAAAGGCTTTTTTGTAAAATCCACTGAAGCTTGAATGTGTGAGCATGCTACGCACAGAGCCAGCAGCTCTGATTTACCAGCAGGAAGCACCGTCTCATAACATCTTAATACATTAATTTAATTCTCATCAGATAAATTTGCATGGCTTAGCTAAGTAAACTTGTTAAACTGCCTCAAATGCCACAGACTTACCTTCCGTATTCACATGCACAGTGTCATAGTATGATATGTAATATAAGTCAGGGGCTTTTTAAAAAATATTTCTCCATCTGGAACTAATGACAGAACCCCACTAACTAACAGAAGGATGAAATCTGGAGGGCCTTGCTGCATCCGCATTTTCCTAGAAATTAAATTGCTATTAATCTGAATATAAATATCAAAATATGTCTCACAGAGTGATATTTATCTTTGCTAATACAAACTGCTAATATTTTACTGGATTAATTTTTTTTGTTTGGGATGACTTTGTCACTCATGCACCTCCACAAAGTGAGACTTGCTTACCTACATAAAGCAGAATAGAAGTAGGGTGAATTGCTCTTACTGTCCCCTTAGTAACAACAGAGGTAGCTGTCTGACTTTCTGGCTAACTTCTAACACGTTAAAGTTGGACAGAGTGCTTCAAAATACAACAGGCATTAAACTTGTAGTATACAGGTTATTTAAATTTGGGGATTTTATTAGTTAGTCCTTTTGAAAAACATTTGTAGCTGGGATAATGTCCATAGCCATAGTTAACATTGTTTACTTATCCAGGATGCTATTTTTTAAAGTAACTTAATTATTACAAGAAAGAAGGGAAAAAATGAATTTTGTTGTGGGTTCCAAAATGAAACATAGTAATACTGTGTTCAGATGTGGGGCCCCCAACATAAAAAAGACCTGGACCTATTGGAGAAAGTCCAGAGGAGAGCCACAAAATTGGTCAGAGGGCTGGAGCACCTCCCCTATGAGGAATGGCTGAGAGAACTGGGTTGTTCAGCCTGGAGAAAAGAAGGCTCCGAGGAGACTTAATAGCAGCCTTCCAGTACTTAAAGGGGGCTACAGGAGAGATGGGGAGGGACTCCTTATCAGGGAGTGTAGTGATAGGATGAGGGGTAACAGGTGCAAGCTGGAAGAGGGTAGATTTAGACTAGACATTAGGAAGAAATTTTTCACTGTGAGGGTGGTGAGGCAGTGGCGCAGGTTGCCCAGAGAAGCTGTGGATGCCCCATCCCTGGAGGTGTTCAAGGCCAGGCTGGATGAGGCTTTGAGCAACCTGGGCTAGTGGAGGGTGTCCCTGCCCATGGCAGGGGGCTTGGAACTCAATGATCTTTAAGGTCCTTTCCAACCCAAACCATTTTATGTTTCTGTGATTCTATGAATAATTTGATAAAATTTTGGCATACTTAATAAGCCCTAGCGTATACAGTAACACTAAATGTGTCCTCAATGTTTGCTTACGAGTGAATATTAAAATGGAATTTTCATTTATTAAGTTTGGTTTAAGAATTTGAGGTGAATGCTTTCATTTCCAAGATTGAGCCAAGGGATTCAAGTAAAATTTCAGTCAGCAAGGTGCCAATGAATAAGATTACTCGATTAACAACAATAACAAACACCCACAAATGCACATAAAAATAGCCTTTTGTGAAAAGATCTCCTATCTAAGTGCACGTTCCTTCAGTTACGTGGTCTGGCAGAGAGCTTCTCATTGAACTGATCCCTGAGAGCAACATGTTAAAAAGACTCAGGGAATGCAACACCAAAAAAAAAATAAAATATTCCAACTGTTTATAAATTATCAATAACGCTAAACAGACTTGTATGCATAAGCAAACAAATCCAAACATTGAATTTTTCATGAGAACAAGACTTAAATGCATTACTGATGGTTTGCTCAAAAGCATAACTCCTCATTCATTCTAAACGGAATTTAAGGTTCAACTTCAAAACATGGACACCTTCCCACAGCCCAGTGCTCACCACTGCAGCAGTTACATGAATCTATGGTCTTAAAAAACTCCGACCCAAGTGAGATGTCTTTAACCAATTTGTGAACCAGCAATAGAACTTCCTTATCTTTTATTCTGGTTATTGTTTATTTTGGTTCTTGACTCCTTTTCTTTACTTATACAAACTGACAAGAAACCAGACGGAAGATTTCATTACAAGATTTTGAAGTCTATTTGAGACTTACTTTGGCTGATATGCTCAAGACAAAAAAACTACAAATTCAAAATATCTGGAGTGTATTAACATGAACCGTTACTTGCTGCTAGACCAGAATACTGAGAGGAACTGTGGAAAACCGTGGGTGCATAATGCCCTGCAAACTTTCTTAAATAAACCCAGAAAACTGCAAACTAATTTTACAATCTCTACCTTGGGTAGAAAATCCCAACACTAGATTTATTTTGACTAAAAAAAACCAGCGAGGATAAAAACCAAACCCACAGGATTTGGGCATGAAAGCATGCCCTGCAAACTTTCTTAAATAAACCCAGAAAACTGCAAACTAATTTTACAATCTCTATCTTGGGTAGAAAATCCCAACACTAGATTTATTTTGACTAAAAAAACCAGTGAGGATAAAAACCAAACCCACACGATTTGGACATGAAAGCTGTCATTTTGACTAATTCTCATTTACGAGTAAGTATTTTCCTAAGGAAAAATTTCAGTTAGTTGGGAAGAATACTTACATGACGGACTGCTTGGAGTATTTCTATCAATAAATTCATTGAAATTTATTAGAAATTCTGTGTTGTTTTCTGATTTTTTTACATCATTACAATATTCCCTGAAAAACAAAACATCAGTCTTCAGAGATTTGTTTCATTTGCTTCTAAAGCAGACAAATATAGCTCAGCAATTTTACAGTCCTAGCAGGACTGTGCAGCTACAATGAGGTGGCCGTCACTGCTACATAAGTTGATTACCATGGTCAATACTGAATGTTGACTATATTGAATATTTCATCTACAGCAATTATAAGGCTCTAGTGCCTGCCTAAATCTGAATTATAAGAAAACTCCATGTATGAGACAAAGCATAGATTCCCAGAAAAAGCACTCAAGATTAGTGTGGGCCATGATATTAGGAGATCATAGAGTCTGTAAACTAAACAAGAAAATGCCCAGTGAATTTAGATTGCTTCTGGGTTAAACTGTACTGGAAAGTACATGGACTGCTGATGAAAATGTAGCCACTTCATGCTCAGCTAAGGCTTGATTTATGGGATAAGGTCCTATCCTCTGAGAAGCCTTAAAGGCAATTTTAATAGGGTACATGCCACATAATCATATAAACACTCTTTGTTTTGACATATGCAAAAGAGATAAACAGAAAACGACTGTCCTTTACATAATCTAATAAAATAAAGCAATATATCACTGGGGAATTCACTGAATGCAAGCAAGCACAATAAAAGTCACTGGGCATTTTGAAGGCAAATATTAGATGGTGAGTGGCATTAAGCAACTTTAATTAAAAGTAGTCAGCAGTAAAGCAGGGAGCTCTCCTTTTAAATAAGCTTTTTATAATACGTTAATTTTATGAACAAAAGAAGTCTGTTGAAGTATTTCACATGAATAAGCCACCTTATTATCCTTTGTTTGCTTTACCATGATCCTGAAAGACTACAGGCAGAATTTACCTTACTATACCAACATTCACATTTAAACAGAGCTCCATATCAAAGAGGCTTTGCTCATGTAGATCTGCCTACCAACTAGGGACTTGCTGGAAACTGCTGATTGGTACAATTGATTATCAATAAATTCAGTGTATTCGAAAAATTAAATTAAACAGTCAAGCTGAGAATACATTTGAAGATAGAAGACTTCGTTTTACATACAAATCAATCTATTCATTGAAATCAATTTGTTCTTTAAAATTTAAAAGTACACGGAAATGTATAAGTAAGAAATGCAACAATTCTTAACTGAGCTTGATGGTACAGTATTTCCTTTATTTATCATAACTGTCTTTTAACTTAATTTTAAAGTACTATTTCTTATCCCATGTTTCCCTTGCAAACATACATTTACAAGGGCAACAAAACTGCACCATTTCACATGAAAAAACAGGGAACAAATGAACCTACTCAATCAGTTTTCAATGACTCAGTAACTTTTTATATTCAATGAACCAAAAATTAATTTATTCTCAAGTGATAAAGAGGTTTGCAACACTTTATCTTGAAGTTAAAGAAAACATCTCGAGGTAAGTATTATGGTACCTATTTTAAAAATGAGAAGCAAAGGTACAAAGTCATAAGATCTTGAAAATCAAAACCACAAGAAATGAAGAGACGTATGAGACTTCCACTGAAACATCAGTATCAGATTTTACAGCTCTCTTTGACTAATATAAACAGGAATCAGAGCCTGAAGATGGTATTTACACTCCAGCAAGAAGAAAAAATTGATCTTTTAAAACCTAAATTTAATTACTGCTCTTTCAGTTAATATTTTTTATCAAAATGAAACTTTATTGGTCAAGTCAGTATTTTGTAAATGCCATTAATCTGATCAAATGGCTATTTACTGATGAAATAATATTTATTACTGGGAAATTGACCAACCTTGGTGCTATAAACGTATAGCCAGCTTCATCAAAATGATCAAGCTTCAGTGTTTCTGAATCTACAAAGGTGAAGAGAAAATACAAAATAAGCAAACTGGGCTTTTTGACATCATTTTTCTTCTCAAAATATTCGACTAGGTTTTGCATGCATCCATGACTTTAGAAAAAAATGTTTATTTTGAGACACTTTCATACTAATGTACTATATACTTCCCAGTATTTCACAGTATAGAAATAAATTACTTGCTTATTATATACAACATACACCCAGCAACAGTAACGTATTGAACAACTTCCTGAGAAGACATTTCATTAGCATGACAACATGAAAACATATGAGATGTTTTCATTAGAATTATATTCTCTGATACAAAGCAATATTTAGGATGCCGCATTGTAAGAACACGAAGGAAAATGCTTCTAGTATTTTCTGCACTAAAGTTTAAAAACTCATCCGTATAAACATCATTTTAAATGCTACTGAAAATAATAGCTTTAATAGCTGGTGTCACTGAACACTAATAGGACCAGACAAAGAAGGAATAGAGATTAGCAACATATTGAAGCGTGCATGGAAACAGAAAAACACTTCACATCTTTTTGTCCTTTCTATTGCTATGGTACCCAATGGTCATGGGAAAAATCCTGAGATGAGGAATACAGAGGAGAATATCCAGTAGGAATAAAATATAAGAGGGAAATATTAACTGCAATAAACAGAAGGAAATTGATCAACAAGAATATACTTGCCCTTTTTGATTGCCACTATCCATCAGAAAGAGAAAGCAGAGAAACAGAAAAAAACAGGGTAAAGCAAAAGGGGTCACAAACCAATATTTTATTCAAACAGTCCCTTGAATAAAAATATTGTGCATAGATAGATAAAAGGTTCAATATACATACAGCTGTAGTCTGGAAAAAAGACACACATCTTTGAAGAATATGTCCTCAATTATTTCTCAAGTACCTTCTATATACTGTGGCTATTTCAAGGGTCTGTTTTGCAGGTTATATCAATATAAGTGCAAAACCAGATGATCCAATCCATCAAGAGAACCATATTCACTCGCTAAAACTCTAATTTTAAACTACTTGCTATTTGACAAAGTTACAAAATAAATCACTGACTAATAAAAACTTGCCATATTCTATTTCATATGCAGGAGGCAATGGCAGAGGACAGTGATTTAGTGTTAACTAAGTTCTCCCTAAACTAACAGTATCTATTCCTGTCAGAGAGATTCACAGTGCTTTTCTAACTTTCTGTTTAACTGTATTTGTTCGAGTTTATGGTAACACTTGGATAAAGTTAAAAGGATGTGATGGGTTCTATTTTGTCTGTTATCTAGATTACAGTTAAGCTACGCCTGAAAACCAAAAAGCATTTGAATACTCACAAGTATCATTTCCAATTATCTCTCCAGAATCTGCAAATGGCTTGAAATTAGTCTAATCTAAAAAATATATTACAAACATCCACTAGAACTATTTATAAAACGCAAAATAAAAACCTAGCTGCAAGCCAAACCAAACAGTGCTTTCACATTAATCTATTCCTACAGGCAGCAGAGGTAATTTGCTAAATACTAAACTGTAACTACTGCAAAAATAAGAAAAAATCCTTTACTACTATAGTCTATATCATGGCATTTAGCTAATAGAATGAAAAAAAAAATAGTATCCAGACCCTTAAAATGACAGCAACAGAGGATACACAAAGCAATGATTCTATAGGCACAGAGCAAGGGGGAAGGGATTGTCAGTGGAACCGGGGTACCTGCATATATTCTATCTTTATAGAATATTTCTTGTACCTTGGATGTTACAATGGATTAGAATCATTGCTGCAGATTTTGGGTACATCATGATAACATCAGTGAATTCCACAAAATTTATGAATTTTAAACATTGCTTTTTTAAGTGAATCTGAGACTTGGCAATACAAGACAAAACCAGGGAACCTTCATAGTACTTACATCTGGCTTGAGTTATTGGTTCTTCTATTTTGGCTTTAATATAATAAAAGCTGTATGATGGTAACACCAATGCCAAACTGCAACAGAAACGAGACAAGTAAAGCAATTATGCTATTTGCAGCAGTTTTGCACTTTTTAATGGATAAGCGAGGAATTTCCACATAATAGCAAGTAACAAAATACATGATTTCTTGTATCTCCCTCTAAGACATCTAGAATCCCAACGTAACACATACCAAAGTGATCAGTGACTGTAAAAAAAAGGATGTAGTACTGCACTGATTTGCATACATCATGTAATGACAGACTCTCCTTTTACTAGTAAAACAACTACCAGCACTCATTAGGAAATGCACCTGGCAATACCTGAATTCACACCATATTCAAATAGAAAAAAATTTATTGACTCATGTAGTCATCACTAAAAACCTTTGATCATCACTGTGTAACAACATTTTAAGATTTGCAAAGTATTTGCAATGTATTTTCTTTTAGATTCTACTTATTTTTGTTCAGAAATACGGGGCTTCTTTTTGCAACTAAATTCAATACATGCATAGAAGAGTTCAGTTCTAAAAAAAGGTACATAAAGGACAGGAGGTAGGAGTAATCATTAAAGAGGTAGCATCATCTCCCATACCACATCCTTAATATTTGCACTTGGATTTCATGACTGTAGAACTGCAACGGTTTCTAATGGATAGCTGCAGAATTAACATTAACAAAGTTGTACAGCTGAGCCATAAATAAGATGACCTTTGATGATACATTTGTCATTTAAGCAGAATGTGAGATGGCTGAATATATAGTGATAGCCTTCTACCAATTCTCCTCTAGGGAAATCAGTAGCAGTTTACCTGTCATTAACAGTTATTGCTAGCAGAAATTGCTAATTAAAATCTATAATTTTATGTTTAATAGGTTTGCTGCAATGTGACTCCATGGATTTATTGCTGTATCTCATGCCAGGGAGCTCAGTAAGAATTAAGAAGTCATATAAATCAAATGCATTTCTTTACTGATTGATGGATGGCATAGCCTGATAAAAAACTTTATTTTCTTACAGAGTATAAAGATATAGGTAATTCAACAGAAAAATGAGATGCTGAATAAAAGATCCTACATTCGCATTCTCTTGTTAAAGCTGATTTGTCTGGTTTTACATACAAATTAATGTTTGCATTCTCCTTGGCTGTGCACCTCTGTGGAACATAACAGAAAATGGGAACCAGCTTGGCTGAGGACTGCTGGAATTCACCACAAGAAATAGACTGTTTTGGTGAAAATTTGACTTAATATTTGCACCATGTAGTTTTGAACTAGATTAGTGTAACTTTTCTGGGACTTGGTAAACCTTGACTGGTTTGAAATGTCAAGTTTCTATATTCCTTCTAATGTTACAGAGCTGTGTGCTTAAATGAGCTTGAAATAATATACACGCTGATGTTGCATTCAAGGAAGGTGTGCCTTTACCCATTACTTCATTTGTTTCCGCGCCATTCACGGCAGAATTTTTACAAACAAAGCTGTATCAGCACTAATTAGTTAAAACTTGTCACAAATACGATTTCAGACATAATCAGTAGCATGGTTCCTGCCCCTAGGATCTGACATGATGGTTAGCAAAGTCATGAGATAAGCAACGACTGTGACTGAAAAAGATTTGCACAAAATAAAAAAAAATTAAAGAAATTTATTTAGACCAAAATATAGCATCTTCCTTTTTAATATGCATATTAAAACAAGAAAATGGAGAAAATGCAAAGAAAAGATTAAATAAGAGGAGGAATCTAAGAGAAAGTATACAATTAAGAATCAAAGTATAGTGTGATACAGAAAATTGGAGGAAAAGTAAGATTCTTAACATCATTCATAAACCCCTTTTTTCCCTGCATACTGAAATATACCCTAATGATAAATCTGAACAGTTAGATGAATGACTGAGGTTCTGGTCCTTAGACAGAGCAACACTTATGAGCTGTAAAGGAACCCAGCAAATCCTACAGGTCTGGATGCAAGACAATCTTGACTTAGATAGTATAGAAAATATGCTACAATATTAACTAAAATAAACAAAAAGGACATTTAACTACACAAAAGAAGTCAGAGAACAGAAATGAGTTACCTGTAATCAGTGCCATTCACTGCAGTCCATGTATATGTTCTGTTTCCTTTATCAATATATCTCTAAAAAGAAATATTGGTAAAAAAAAAATTATTAACAATGAAGCTTCAATAACTGTGCCCCTTTCTGGAGAAATACAGTGTAAAATCAAGTACAAATCTGTTGGAATTCTATTTATTATTTTGCTAAAAGCATGAGCTGAGCTACAACTCCTTTTCTTAAACATTTTCCAAATTTATATTATGCAAAAGAATCATTTCAAATAACTTAATATATCAGGATAAGCTTTACCTCTTTTTTTTTGTATGTAAAATGACATGATAGACACAGTCTTACAGTTCCACATAGATTTAATCATTGATGCACCTGGCTGACATAGTTTTATTCAGCTTTCCACTTTGAAAACTACAAGTTTATGCCAGCTGCAACATATTATTTTACAATCAGACACTTGTAAGTATGCCAGCAATGAAGTCTGTGCAGCTGTTGCACCACAACATTACAAACATCAGGTAACATCTACTCTTTCTTTTTCCTGTGGTAAAACAAAAGTGTCAAAATGACCGTGGTTATTAAAAAAAGGTGTCTTTTTTGACATTTATGATTTGAAACTTTTTCATTACCTGGCTGCTGCTTTTCAGCACAGTATGACAATAGAAAGAATTTAATAGTCATTTTTGAAAGAAAAAAAAAAAAGAAAAAAAAATGAAAAAGGGATAAAAAGCAAAAAAGAAAAAAGATTCATGTATCAGTGTCTAATGCCCTTATATATTTTATATTTACGGTAAAAAGATGTCTGAAGAGATTCCTGTCCAAGACTATTTATATTTAATAATGTGCCTATACTATTACTTCAGCTCAAGAATAAGCAGACACCTGAACCTAGCGCTGGCAGTCCCTCCAAATCAGGCACAGTGCCATGGGTTGCACACTATGGAGGTTGAGCAATGCCCAAGGTGGGAGGGAAGGAAGGGAAGAACTGGGCTCACATTAAATCCTGTTGCCACCAGAGCTGTAAACATGCTTAAAAACAAACTGGCCGAAACCTCCCTTCAAAGATAATCCAGGAGATCACACATCATCATACATCAGCTCCTGTTTACCTTTGCTTACGTCCTTACTGAGCAGTCTGAGACCATCTCACCCCCAGCTGGTCACTGCCAAAGAACCTACACATGTTATTGCTGTTTCTGTGACCCTTCAGTTTTCACTACTGTCTGCCCCGGCTGCCCGAATGTGGCAATGCTTTTGTTCCTATGGCATCTTCTCTGTCAGTCGGAAACCCCCTGAGGCCTTGGGAGACTCCAGTGCACCCCACCCACGCTTGCTATGAGTCCAGTCTCTAAGCTGTAGTATGAAGTCATCTCCCAAGACACTGCTGGGGCCAGCTGCAATACCAAAGGAAATCAATGCAAACTTAAACCAAAAAGCAAAACAAAAAGGACATCAATTTTAAGTCTCAAGACTGCAACTGTCAGCTCAGAGCAACTGACCACATCAGCCCTTTTTACAAGAAACTACACGAAGCTATCAAGTCCTAAGTGATGCATGGCTCATGCATGGCCCGTAGTCTGAAGCAGCTTCATTCTGGCTCTGGCAGCCTGGAGCTGGGAGGGTGCAATGGCTTGAAGCAGTCACCGTTGCCAGCCATCTCTGGCTGCTCCCTTTTTCTCTTAGAGAAGTCCGAGGAAGAAATATTGGGCCATGATGCAAGGGAAGGTGAGGAAAATTAATTTCACTGGACACTTGAAGCCTCTGGGATCAAAAGACTTGGGATGTTTTATTCAAATACAGACTGTGGTCTGGGACATGCATAACCGACACATTCTCACGCACCCAAGGACATCACATCCCCCCCCAACCCTGATGCTGTAGCTGACATCAGCATTTGCAAGTGTAAATACTTCCCCCTCCCTCTTTGGGAAATGAGTTGCAGGACCAACTCTTTCAGGTCTTTTTCACACAGCCTCAGATTTCTTCAACAACTTTGCCATGAATGCAATTTCTTGTATAACCCTAATGGTGTTATTGTATTTTTGTGACCTTCTAATCCTCCCCTTTCTAACCACAGAGCCCTTTTCACCCATGGGCTTGGAAAGGCACTCCTTCAACAAAACACCACGAGTTTGCAAATGTCCCAGTGAATCCCTTCCTCAGGAGCAGCTTAGCCCCCTGAGCTTACCCTCCCTGCCCCTATGCATTCACCATCCTCCTACAGTGGAACCACGCAGGAAAAGGCACATTTTTTTTCACACAGCAGGATATCCCCAGAGATTGTAAAGCAGCATTGTAAAGCCTTACTCAAGAGGGCTGGGATGGAGGCTTCATTGTGAGAAAGCACAGAAGAGAGTCCTGGCTGGTGCAGGTCTCTGCTTTAGAACATGGAAAGAGGTGAAAGGCATCATGAAGCTGGATACGGACAAGGAGTGTGGGCAGGTTTAATGACATCATGGGACTCCACAGGTTCAAGGACCATAACTTACAGGCATGCTTTGCACCTGGACCATGTAGGTGTATAAGTCTGGAGTTAAGCTGACTTCTCTCATGGAGGCTGAACTAGGAAAGTATGACTCTGCCCCCACTGAAGCTCAGGTTCTGTACTCAAGAAGAGAGACTACGAGGTTCTGCACTTTCTGAGTAGGAAAGATAGGAAGATAGCACCCAACATAGAGTCAAATTGCCTGGACTCTTCAATCTAATAAAATACCTTGACAATCTTTCTGCAACAAAGTCTCAATCTTGTTAGCAGGGACTTGAATGAATATACAGATTTTAATCTGTCTCCTCATAGGTGGACACAAGCACAAGTAAAGCCACTAATCTCAATGACACCCATAACTCAGGACTAAAAAATGCCTCTGATGGATTTGCACAGTTATGAAGACCTTGAGCAACAGGCTTTCTCAACTCCAGTGCAGATATTAAGATGCTGAGGAATGGCCGTGAGATGTCCAGCTCTGGAGTCTGCAGCACAGGAAGGACATGGACCTGTTGGAGCGAGTCCAGAGGAGGCCATGAGCATGTTCAGAGGGCTGGAGCCACCCCTGTATGAGGACAGGCTGAGAGAGAGTTGTTCAGCCTCGAGAAGAGAAGGCTCCTGGGAGATCTTAGAGGAGCCTTCCAGTACTTAAAAGGGGGTTATAAGAAAGATGGAGATAAGATTTTTTAGTATGGCCTGTAGTGATAGGACAAGGGGTAATAGTTTTAAACTGAAAGTGGATTAGATTCAGACTAGATATAAGTGAGAAATTTTTTACAATGAGGGTGGTGGAACAGGTTGCCCAGAGAGGTGGTAGATGCCCCATCCCTGGAAATATTCAAGGTCAGGTTGGACGAGGCTCTGAACAACCTGATCTAGTTGAAGATGTTGCCGCTTATTGCAGGATTGGACTAGATGACCTTTCAACACAAACTATTCTATGATTCTGTGATTCTAAGTATGTTCCCAAAGGTGCGTTGTGGAACCAAGTAACCATGAACTTGACATTGTGAAATCACAGCATGGATGAACAATTGAGACATGTTTCAGAAAATGCAGGTCCATTTTCAGCCTCATCTAGCAAAGACAACATGTGTGTTGTCACTGGTTTCTACCCATGAAGACAAGTTACCATATTTAATGCAAAAATAGACTAGGAGTACAAAATATATTTTTCTGTATCAAAATGAGGATAAGTATATATGAATCTTCCCTCAATGCAGGATTGAGCCAGAGGACTGGTAATAGGAACTGCTCAGTATTGAGCATCATGTGGTGTAATCTGGCCAAAAATTTCAAGTAGAGTTTAAAAGTTGCCATCATCTATTAGACATTGAATTGAATATAAGTAAGGATTGTGCTGTTTTTAACACAGTAAAACCTCCCTAAACTGTGAGGCCTGATTTCCTATCAATTTAACTTGATTAGATTCTGTAGCACATGCCTTCTGAGAAGGGGGAACTTTTAATTGAAACATTCTGCCATTTAAGTACAAACAGCAGAGCCATTGGAGATACCAAAGTCACAGGAGATCAACAGGAGAGGGCAGCTAATACTACACTTGAAAAATTAACTGCACACTCCCAAGCAATTCTGCTGTGTATTGTTATGGTGTGATTATACAGATAAAGGTTGTCCAGTGTCTGCTTGTCATATTTATTTCATGTTCTTCTGATAAGTCATTAAACTAGCTATCTTCAAGCTGTTTCACATTCAGAGAAAGACAGTTTCAGAAAGGTGTTGTAGAACTGTAGTGTGGGGCATACTCTGTCCAGAACTGCTCCTTTGGCGCACCAGTCATGAGATTTCTTCTCATTATGGTCCCAAAGAAGTAGAGCATGCATGTAAGGATGCATACCAAATTTGAGTACTTCCTATTGCTAGGAAACATGTCTGTCTTATTAGAGAAACCAGTAGCAATCTTTATCAGGAATGAGCACTTTGGACAAGAGAATAAAGAACTCAACAAGCTGTTCAGAAAGCAGAAGTACATAATAGAACTGTAAGATGAATTTGCTTATCAAAATAGTCTTCATTTATGGCATATAAATGCTATTTTTTTTTCCCACTACGCTTTCTTCCCATTCAGCCACAACACAAACTACCAAACCCATCCTCACACATCTCCGCAAGAAAATTAAGTACTTTGTTTTGGGATCTGTACACAACAGTAGGCTGGGTCCATTTCCTGGTGAACAGAGTGCAAGACCTCATCAGTGATTAATGATGTACCACAGAAACCAAGGAACAAAACAATTCTTCTTTTCATAAGTACATAATTTCTTTTACTATAAGCCAGTAAAACTAGCAAATCTAGAGGGAAAAATGATACAAACTGACATTACAAAATTAACGTCTCACCATTTCACAGTATTTTTCTGGTTTTGTTTGTTCCTGTAAATGCAATTGCCTGTGTTCCTGTCTTACCTCATCTTGGGACTTGACCAGTGTTTCAAATGTTTTTTCTCCACTTTCACCGTCTATCATTTTTTTCCGAATCTATTGGTAAGAAAGAAAAAGAAAAAGGAAAAAGAACAAGGTGTTGCACATAACATGAATAATCTTTTCAGTGATTCAAAATATTTTACAGAAACACCCAAAATGATAATGCATAAGAAAGTCATAGTGCTTAAGGAAAGAGCTAAATTTACAATTTTATGATTTTTCAAATTAGAAGTTGTTTTATCCAAATATATACTGAATCAGTAGAGTTATAAAGCAACAATTCTGGTATACTCTGCACAGCGAGAGCAACCCATAAACCCCCTTGATGATGGGCAGTAGGGAGAGTATGAATTCTGTGCGGATGAGGAGGAGTTCTGTTTAGCATTTCTCGTGCTTCCCAGTACATCTGTGTGATTCTGGTAGCAGCAGTGATTGACAAAAACATTTTTATACCAGTCCAAGAGCAATTCCTCTCCGAAGCAGGTGTTTCAAAGAAACTTAAGGCAGAATTTAACAGATACCAAGAAATGCTGATTAGTTTCATTAGGAAAGAACAATTTTAAATGAAGTGAAAAAATGTGTTTAAAAAAGTAAAATCTTTTAAACCCCTCCATTTTATTCCACAAAACTAACAAACTATTTTTAAAAATTCTGATATTCATAGGAATCAGTTTGTTGTCAACACTTAACTTTATTTCTCAGTTCTCTCTCTCACTACCGAAATAAGTTTGCATCAGTAAGAGATAGGGAAATACTTTTAAAATATTTCAGGTAATATATTAATATCCTATTAAAGTGTTCTGAAAAATTTTACACACCCCTTCCCCAGGAATTGCCACTTAATGAAGAATTATTTAAACAGGAATCATGAGAGGAATATGATGTATTGTCCTTGCCTATGAATAATACTGCATCTCAATTTGTTTCATTTTAACTTCACCAGTCTATAAAGTGATCATCTTGACAAATTTAAAGTTTAAATTTATAGTGAAATAGATTCCCATTCAAAATCTAGAACATTTATTGCTTTTCAGTTTTTATGCAATGAAATACAAGCAGCAACAGGTACTAAGAAACCAGGTAATCTCACCTCAACTTTAATATCGTTTTCCAATTCAGCATCTAGAAAATCCAGCGTAACAGGCTCCTGGGATTTAGGATTCTGAAGCAGAAGATATTGAATTATCAAATAATAAAGACATAGTACAGTAATGTTACAAATCACTCTAATCCCTTCATTTCAAAGTAAGCTACTTAACTAGGCTTACTTACCCATCTATTTTAATCTTTTCTAGCATGATGAGTTACTAGTGACCCTTTTTTCTCATTTATTTTGTTTCATTTGATAGAGAGGTTGACTGGGCAAGTGAAAATCAAAATAGCTCTAACGGCTAGTGCCTGTTCACAGACTGCAATGCATGTGGATCATGTTGGAAAGCTGCTTCCCCTACAGCTGGTATGTCACAGACTGTAAGGGTGGGAGAAGACAAAGGTAAGATGGGATAATCATACTCTTCTGCAGTTTTGCCAAAAGCAGACTACAGACTTGCTGTTACAAGGTGGGAATGAACTACAGTTCAAGATTCAAAGACGCAGTAATTATAGCAAATGATTTGTTTATTATAAAAAATATAAATCACTTTTATTGTCAGCATTACAGGACTTCCCTGAACACCTTGCCGTTCTGAATGCATTTCTCTTGACATCCGTACTGTTATCTCAGTTTAAGAGATGGAAACCTGTAGCACAGAAATACTGCGACCCAACAGCTTCAAGACCTAAGGAATGTACATGACGTCAGCTCTCAGCTATGGAGAACAGAGAAGTTTGGTGACATGCAGCTGTAGTAACCGTGGTCCAATACCAGTGTGGGGAGACCACCGCAGCTCTGCTGAACAAACTCAGACCACCATCCAGCCTCTACTCCCTTCTCAGTTGCAGTATGCATTTACTTGGACAGAGCCATCTTCCATACGAGCTGTTAGGCACCTGACTCTTTTTCTTTTTTTAGTGTTGACTTTATATTATGTGTGGTGTTAAAATCCTCAATCCTCATCACTCGGTGGTTATTTAAGGTATGACCTAATGAAGGATCTTTAGAAAAAAGAGTATGGGAATATATTATTTAACCATTTAAACCTGACAGTTTAGAATAGAAGGAAAAAGTCGAGGCTTATTAATTTTTTTTGTTTGATAATAATTTTCTTAGTGTACTAGGACATTCACACATTCAAGGATCTCAAGACCTAATTTTCTCAGTAACTGAGCATTGTTTCTCTTGTGATCAGCAACACAAAAATTGTCTTTAGCTGATACTGTTATTTCAAGACTAGTGTAATTTCTGATCATGAAATTTTTAGGGAGTTTCAGTGATTCGTCTATACGAACTTATTTACAGGGTAGACTAAAGTCCCTTCTTTCAAAATGATGATCATATTCCTTCTAACATTCTCTGGCAAAGGTACATGACAAATGTACATGTGACTATTCTATTAAAGAATGCAAGCATCTTTCACCACAATTTATGCATGTATTTTTAGTTTGTACTGGAAGAACGTAACATCCTGGATAGCTGGTAAAAGATGCCTTCATATAATAGTCTGGAGTATTAGGAGCTTAACATTAGTCTTTGTTTTCAAGACTGCAATATAGAATAGTGTTCTACGACAAAAGATTATTCCTTCATGTTCCTGAGGAACAAATTTACATATTTCTAGGTATTTGGAAACATTCCTTTTCTTAGCAAGTAAGACTTATTGCCTGCTAAGAGAAAAGCCAATGAATTTATTCTCAGAAAGAGAATATACACTGGAAAGACTTCAGACGAAGATTCCAGGTATTTCTTTTAAATATCTAGTGATGACTTCAAGGAAATTGTTCTGTTCTTTTTTAGATAGGATTGATAAAACTAGCAACTTTAATATAATAGCATTAACATTGTTCTCTACCAATTCAAAACAATTTAATTATTGTTATGCAGTTGCTTTTTTCCCCCAACAAATCCACATTCTCGACATAAATAGCAAGAGGATAAAATGTAAAAATAAATTAAAAAAAATAAATTTTCTTACATGCAATGGATAATGAATAGCATGGTCAAACCCAAACAGCATGCATGAAGGCATTGGCATGGCAGAGGAGGCATTTGTGAAGTTCACATTCCATTCCAACACACAAAGGAACAAAGAAGAAAATAAATGGTAAAAAAAGAAAAAATAAAAGCCATCACATCAAATCAAGGTCAATATTCATTTCAAATGATAACCTGGGCTAGCCATAGTTAAGGAGTCCCAAAGAAAAAACAGCCAACTGTAACAGTCCATCAGAACTCAAGTATACATTAACTGTTTGTTCTTGGTTTTTTTAAGACTTATATCACCACACGTTTTTTATAAGGCACTTATAATGACTTTTAATAGATGAGGAAACTAAGCATGCATAGTCACATTATGTGATGTGCCTGTGGCACAAAGGAATCCATTAGAGATTAGAATAGAAAATTCCTAGGTCCGTACTTTAAACGGAAGACTATTTTCCTGCTATGTCTTTGTCCCCCAAGAATGTGTTTTTACCAGTATTTGGGCTCCATAATTTTTTCTTCCAAGGTTGCCATTTAGTGGGGTTTATTCCAAGCCGTGAAGAAACAAACTTACTGTTGAGTTTGCTCTTCTCTTTGTCCAGTCATGCATATGACATGACTGGAATAAGCGCAATACCACCACATTCACCATCACAACTTCATAAAACAAAACAGAAGTAAATCACTAGCAATGAAGCATGCAAATAAAGGGAGTGCAATCCATTTTCAGCATGACAAATAAAGGCAAAGATCTATTACTTCAATGACAAATCAAGAAAGAAACAAAGAAAGAAAGAACTGGTGCAGCAACATAAATAAAAAAAAAAAAGGTTCATTAAAATGTCATTGTCGTGTGTTTTGGGAGGTCAGTATTCTCACAAATTCTATGGAAGGCCTTCTTTGCCATCAGCCGCAGGAGGCTAGTTCCTACTCATACCTGCAGTGCTAATGAAGACACAGGCTGTTAGGTTTTTAAAATAAATGATGGTAAGAAAGCAGCAAAATCCTGGGCTCCAGAGGGAGACCCAGGAGCATCTGGAGTGGATGGGAGCCCAGAGCTTTTCCAGCACTGTGCCTCCCAGGGCAGCCAGCACAGCCCAACAACAGCCAAACCACGACACAGCATGCTGAGCAGCCGGGGTGCTTGGAAAATTGAGATTTTTTTAGGCTTCAGTGCTGCTTTCTCCAGTGCACAAACAAAAAATCTAGCCCAGAGGTGGTCTTCTACCTGTGGTATAAACACAGTCACTTTAGACTTGGTGAAATCACTGACTTGAATTAGATCAGGATTTTACACCATGTTTTAGTGGTGGTTTTGTGCAAACCACCAGTTTTGCATTATATATTCCCCATCTGCGTAGGAAATTAACATGGCACACTGTACCTAACTTGGTTATTTTGCTAGTTACATAGTTATTCTATTCCTTTAACGATTTTTATGTTCAGGGATTGCTCTTTATATACGTGTTACTAATTTTCTTTTCCATGTTTGGGTTAATGGCAGTCAATCCTCTGGAGTTGGGTTTGTTAAATCCAGAAACATGATGTAGATAGCAGATAAAACATACGTCCTACTCTGACTTCCCCAGAAAAAAAATGAACTGTTTATTCAAATTCTGTAATGTTACATTACAGCATAGACTGTACAATAAAACTGGCAATAAAGTCATAAGAATTATCTTTTTTTGACTTTGGGTTTATGCAAGCAAAGACAAGCAGTCTCCTTTTTTTTTTTTTCAGTTTCAAATTAATTTCAAAATCTGAAGAATAATTTTTACAGCAAGGCTCTAATTAGCACCTATTAGTAAAGCACCATAATTTAATGGAACGCCCTTCACTACAGCCAATAACATGTTTTCCATTATTTAAACAAGGAAGGATGCAAGCTTCATGCTTTGGAAGCTGTTTGTCAAAGTAAACAGTTCTCTAGTTAGATTTTTCCTAGTAAGCAGGGCAGAAGCTTTCTAATTGTATTTCCAGGTCTATGCATTCTAATGCACTAATCACCTCCATCCAAAGTTACCTGTACATTGGGTCTCCTTTTTCTCAGTTTAACTTTTGGTATGCCCACACCAATTTGCTGAAGTAATAAAAAAGCAGTAATTTATATTTTTACACTATTAATAAACAGCCTACTTATAGAATGGAAGTCTTCCCTCAACGTCTATGCTCTCCAGCACACATTTACTGGAAGCAGAAACTAGCCCTCATTCCAATCAAGAGTTCCGAGCTCTCTATCAGAACTGCACACAGGTTTTGTCTAGGGAAATGAAAACCAGACGTATGTTAAACAACATGAACTAAGTTATCAGAGAGCTGTACGTCCTACATACTCACCCAGAATTAAAATATTGGAAGAATTTCACTTATTGTTTACTGTTGTATCTGTTCTTCCAAAACGATAAGCCATAAGAAAAAATACCGGACCCTACTGAAGGCATCTGGAGTTTTATAATTACCATTAAATGGATTTTTACCAGAATCATAATGAAAATTAAGAAAAGGATGCTAATCTTTAGGAAAGATTCAGAAATTGAATTATTTACTGTTTTCAAATCTTATCTAATTAAGACTAATACTGTTAACACTCACTTAATGCACTCACTTCAGTGACTATGTTTCTTTGGTGGGATATCCACCTGTTCTCTCCCAAGACAATGGGAAAAATACAGGCACATACGCACAGACACACAAAGAAAATTGTCAAAAAAACATAAAATTAAGCATTTGTTTAAAAATGTAATATAACTAACTACACAAATTTGAAAAAATGGTATTTTCATCAGTTTAAAATTATATTAAACTGAAAATTCAAAAAAAAAATGTTTCCTGTGTTATGCTTTTACATAGCTTTCATGTGCAAATAAGAACATGACAGGAAAGTTGTTAAGACTTTTGAACCTGCCTTTTGTTAGATTTTTTCAGTTGTGCAAATGACTTTACAAATTCTCAATTTCCAGGGGCTTCTTTCTGTGAGATGATACTGGAAGACAATTTCTCAAAATACTGATTGTGTTGAACCAGTTTTGATTTGAGGTAGCAGATTTTCAGAAGGAAAGTAGAAGACAACCAGAAGAAGGAACTGTTGGAAGTTTAATACACCCTCACCTCTTCAAAGGTAAAGACGTAGTTATGTTTTAGTTTACATCTATTGAAAAATTGCTGGCAAAGAGGGTTAAAAGATGTTGTTTGTTAATAAGTTAACGGCTATCAGGAGGTTCAACTAAAATTAATAATGACATGTTAAAGAAAGTCTATGAGTTCTAAATACATCTGTCTTCGGAGTGTACCTTAGTTTTAAAACGTAGTTCCTGTATCAGTCTGAATAGCATGCACCACCCCAAACAAACTGGGAGTGAAAAAGTCTAGTCTGTGTAACTGTTAATAACAACAATAATAACAGTAATAATGCATATGCTTAATATTACATTTAGACATTATTCTACAATATCAAACATATCACTTATGAAATGCCCTTTTTTAAACATACTCTAAATCAAACATTTGAGCAGCACGTGAAAGCATCTCTGGACTTCCATACGCTTTTAAGTAGAAAATCACACAGAAACCATGACAATTACTTTCCTAATAATCCATCTCAGTCTGCCTAGACTTAGTGGGGATGAGCTGAGTTTTTCACTCTCTAACAAAGGCTGCTTATTCTCCAGTGTTACAAGTTTACACTGCAGTATAACAGCACATATGAGATAAACAGAATCCATATCCATCAGTTCCTCACAAGATTGTGCCTAAAACAAGAATACTACAATGCTTCATTTCATATTCCCTCTTTTAACAAAAATATAGTTGCATTTGCATATAAGGAAAAGGTAAATAGACCACTCGCCATCATCTGAGTTTCTCACAATCTCTGATGAAGAACAGATTTGATCAGTAATGATGCATATATTTGTCTCAGAATAATTCATCGAGCAAAATCATAAAAACTTTCATTTTTTAACACATGAAAGCCTAAGGCATATATTGAGAAACTGAAGTCCATCTGAATTATGAAGACAATATAAAACCCTTCTTTTCCTTTTTTTTTGCTAGTTTCTTTTTAAAAGGGTCCATTCAAAGTAAATCAAAAGGGATATTTCTTAAATAGTTAAGATCAAGTTATTCTTTCTCTTTTTCAGAGGCATTTTTTTTTCCTTCTTTTGTTACACACTTGGCAAACATATTCATTATTTCACCAGGAAATTAATTCACATACTTTCACCAGCTTAAGAATGAAATTAATCACTAAAATTTGTAGAAGAATTCTTCATTTCTTTCTCTGCCTTTTACAGTTAAAGATGGTGAAGTACTGAAAAGCAGGGCTGCTATCCCTCTTTTTTTTTTTATCTATGATAGGACTTTCTGGTGAAGAAATAAGAGAGGACAGTTGCACAGCCAAGAGGTCAAGAACTTGCTGCTATTCTGCCACAGGAACATGGCTGGGAGGAACAAAGTGATGGATATGCATCCAGTTTACAAAAAAACAGTATTTCCATGCCTAAAGGCAGCAAATACAGGCTTCCATTACTTAAGAAGTTTCTCTAAAGAGTGCTAAGTGCTAAAAAATAATTTCGGAGTAGGGTGCGACTGAAGTTTAAAAGCCTTCCTAGCCTTATTTGCCTGTGTATTGACAGCTTGCATTTATCTTGGCAATATCTTGCTCAAACCATCTTAATGAGAAATTTTAATATTGACAACTGAACTACATGGATATATCGTTTGGTCTTCAATATTTATAGTGATTCATTATGATTTCTAACTTTTTATCTGTATAATAATCCATACATTTCTCTCAAATTGGAGTGATTTTTTTATTTTTAGTTAACTAAATTTTAACATTTATATTTAACATTTATATAATGCTGCATTTGTGCACTATGAACTCATGAGAGAAAATTTGCTGAAAGTATGTTTCTAATGTAATTAAAATACAAGCATTTTCAAAGACTTGACTAAACAGAAGATTGTTTGACATGGAGAAACCCCTCAGTAAAACAAAGACTAAAGTTCTGATTTCAGGAAAAAATCACTCATTCACTTATTTAAGAAGATAATGTAATGTAAGAGTCCCCACAAGGTCAGGACTACAGTTAACAGATATAAAGCCAGACTGAAATACTGGGTTTACATTTTCCTGAAATTTGAGGAAAGTTGTGTCCTAATCAGACTTCATCTTTAAAGATGGAAGACCTTTCTCAAGCTGAACTCCTAAAAAATCTAGCATTCTGTAGTGCTCAGCTAGATCCATCCCAACTCAGCAACTCAGGTTTCAGCTCTGGTAAACAGAAAATACGCAATTAAACAAAAGCTACAATACAAGAAAAATACAGTGTGTTTGTCCCCGATTTCTGTGTTATTGCAAGTATGGAAGTTTCAATTTCTGAAATGAGAAAGCACCACAAAATAAACATGTGCACTAGTTAACTCTGCAGAGTTTTCTTCAAGAGCATCTTGTAATACTACAAATTCTTCACAATGATATTACAGCTACCACTATTTGTTTTTACATTAATAGGTGTACTAAAACAGTAATCTCACATATAAAAATTTGTGTGTAAAATATATAACCTTTTTATTTTATTGATAGCCAAATTTAATACAAGGCAATGCTGATCTTTGTGCTGATTAAAGCAGATTTGGATGAAGTCATACATGCACCTCAGATTTTCCTGACACTCCCACAACTGAGAAATCTTTACTATTTCTCTCTGGTACTTTCAGCAGATCTTAGATGTTTCTGTTCTTTCTGACAATGTCCTCTTATTATAGAGAAATTAATTAGAAGGTTTTTCATACCTTTGGTTGGAGATTTGGATGAAGTAGCACATACCCATTAGGATCAATTGCAAAATAGTATCCATTTGGACAAAGCTGAAAGAAATGAAGTTTAGCATTATAGTTTTAAGTAAAAAAGAAAGAATGGTTTTCAAGCAATCATCACATTAAGGAAAATACATTGCCTCAGGCCTCATCAAATATTTGAGATACTAACATACAGAAGATAACTTCTTAATATTTACTCTTTTAGAATCATAAACTTGGAGAGTGATTTAGGTGGCTAGGACCACTGGAGGTCACCTGGTACAACCCTTCACCGAAAGCAGAGATAACTTCAAAACAAGATCCAACTTTAAAGTTGGACTAGGTTTTAAATGGTCTTTGACTACCTCCAATTGCAATTCCACAACCTCTCTGGGCAACCTGCTCCAGAGTTTAACCACCCTCACAATGATTTTTTTCCTTATTTCCAGTTGGAATTTCCATTGCCACAACTATGTTGATTGCCTCTTGTATTTCACTATAAACCTTCGAGGTCCATCTTTAGGCAACCCATTACATGTCTTCTTCAGTCTGAACAACCCCCTCTCTCTCAGCCTCTCCTCATATGCCATGTACTCTGGCCCCGTGGCCAACTCGGTGGCTCTGCACTGGACTCTGTCCAGCATGTCAGTGTATTTCTTGCACTGAGGAGATCAAACTTGGACACGGTACTCCTGATGCAGGTGTTCACTACACAGCTGTCCTTCTTTATTTCAAGGACACACTGATCATTTATGTTTAGCTTGTCCTCCACTGTGACCCCCAGGCCCTTTCCTCCCTTTTGAAGCATTCTGTCCCAGCCTGTACCGTGGCATGGGATAATTCCATTCTAGATGCAGGACTTTGCCTTTGGTCAAATTCGTGATGTTCCTTTGCTTCCTCAGTTGTTGTTTTCCACAGCACTAGTTATTTTCTTAGAAATTCCCCAGCTAGATGTCTAAATATATAAATCAATCATACTCCGTAGGGTACAGACAGACATGTATATTACAGAACTTTTCTATAAAGAACTGTCTTATATAAATGCTAAGTGCTATTATTAGCTGAAATGACTGTGAACTCTACACTGTGATAAGAACCAAACACTCAACAGCGGTGCCTTAAGCTACAAGAAAATAATTGCTTGGAATATATCCCCCAATGTAAAAGTTGGCTTTTACAGATGTATCCTGGTGGACAATTCACACAGAAGCACATATATGGCTGGAGAGAAAACCATCAGAAAATCTATAACAATGGAAAAGAATATATGAAAAAAAAGCCTGCTGGTATTTTGACTCACATCCAGTCATTGCTGTTGACTCATGAAAGAGCATGCAAAGAAATCATACATAAATCATACATGAAGAGAAACCACCAATGCAAGCAACTTACCGTAAATCGGGGTGTCAGTTTTTTTATGTCCTCCAAAGAGACATCAACCCCCATTACTCCAAGAATCAGCTGATTCTGGTAAGATTCCAAAATGTTAGAATATATTTGACATATTTATAATGCAGGATAATTGCAAAGTCGGTGAATTTTGATTTTGCCTTTGTCTCGTTTGACAGATACTACTTGAAAAGTTGCCTATTTATTTATGTGTCTATTCTAAATATCTTAAACAATACTCAAGTGATTCAAAGTAACATTCAATATATTCAGAATTTAATATAGAATATGCAAACTGTTTATGAATATGAATATGGATGCTTTCCTGGATGAATAAGCAATAAATGTAAGAACAAAACAGGTGAAACCAAAAGTGATGCATTAATATTGACAATAATGTAGACACTGTTTGCCAAACTAGACTAAATTGCTATCAAAGATACAGAGCTACTATTGCATGCTTAGGTTGGGCAATTGATAAGTGAGACCTCAACAAAATTCACCTCCTTTGGCTATGGTATAATGATGAACTCAAAACCAAAAACAAAACCAAAAACCAGTGACTATAACAATCATCAGCAGTTCAAATCCAGGACACAGACAATACATTTACTTCACTTGTAATTTGTTTTCCTATGTCAGAAAAGAAGGGCAGTAGTTTACACAGTATTACCTGAATCCCTTCTCCATATTAAATAAATTTGGAATATGTATTGGAAGGTGGATCTTGAAGTCTGTAACCTAAAATTCAGGTAGAGACCTAAGCTGAGCAGATTCAAGCTTTCCTCTTGTTCCATCCAGGTCCTCTGTACCAGACCACGGCTGTTTTACTTCTCAGAAAGACATTCTCTGGCAATCAGTAGTCTCTCATTTTGCAACCAGACTTCGTGAATTTCAAGCATTATCTTGTAGGTACGATTATGAAACTTTTTATTTTGCTTTATTTTTAAAGGGAAACAAAGAGAACTGCTCTGAAAGCAAATTTTTAAAAAAGCTAGTGAAAAGCTAGTGATCAAATTTGCATTTATCCATTCTGAGTCTATGTAATATCTGAGAAAAGGAATCAAAGAATATCTTGCCTAAACTTCTGTATATTTTGACCTGAATGAACAGGAGTACCACACCAAAGCTACAGTATTTTACCACACACAGTAAAGCATATTCTAGGTCTGATTTTTAAAAAAGCAGTAGTCTGATTTTGCAAAGAGGACATAAATTGATTCCTTATCAGACTGTAATAGAGAGGGGGAATTGCATTTATTCAATACTTAGATTTTAATCTAAGTACACAGGGCTACTTTCAGCTAATTTCCAGTGTCTACATCATTGCCTTTTACCCTGAAATGTCATAGCTTCAGAGATTTATTATAAAGTTATCTGGGCTTTATTTCTTGGCAAGGCCTAAATAATATCATCATCTACTTCCCATCTATGGAGCATTTAACACGTTCTCGCTGCCACCAGGTCACAGAGATAGATCAAGGAATGTCATATCCCGAAACTCAGAACCACAAGAAGGATGATCTGCATTTTCTAGTTCCCAGAAGGTTATCAGGCAACTAGAGATGAATCATTTGTTTCTAATGTACAAGAGAATTAAACTGCAGAAAGTTCTATGGAAATACACATTTTTACATTTTTCAAGGACGTTAGCAATAAAGTTAATTCAAATAACTGATTTTTTTTCTTTAAGTAACAGCTTACTATTTTCTCATTTTGTCCCTTTGTTAGATTGAAGACAGGTAGAGTTCCTGTAATCACGAGGCCCAGCTCCTAGGAAATAATCACATACAAAGGGGAGAAAGAGACTTTTTAGTTAAGTAACAAATATTTAATTAATAATTAAAAGTTATATATTAGAACAAACCAGGGTTTACTGTAGGTAAACACAAGAGTCCTTTTAGTTTGTAAAAAAAAAAATCCACCCCCCCAAAAAAAACCCCCATCAACTTAATCAATTTTATGCACACAAAGTTAAAATTATATTTTTTTAATCTATTTGTAGTGAGAATAATAAATTGCTTTTAAAAATAGATGATGTGCAACAAACTTAGGATATAATAGTTTAATAAAAACTAAATGTTATAAAAACATGTTTACAGCTACAGTTCCCACTATACTAAAAACTCCAGATAGGAGAGACAAAATGAAAAAAAGAAAACAGAAAAAAGGAGAAAGACAAACCAAACTTAAAGACAGTAAATAGACAGGCAACAAATACACACAGCAAAATCAACAGAAAGATCCAACAGGTAATACTACTACTTTTCATATCATCACTACTTTTTAATGGCTTGCAATAATGTCCATCATCAGTTCTGCAAAATCACATTGTCTTTGCAATTTGTTTTTTCTTTTATTAACAGTCACAACTCATACTTAAAATAAGAATCAGAAAACCGTATGTTTAGGTAGCCAAAGCGTTGTTTTCCACTCAAAATTGTCCGCAGGGAGATTTCTACCTTTTTTATGCTAATGTTTGGGTTTTATTTCAAATTATTTTTCCCTCCACTGATGCTTTCTCCTTCCCTGTATTTTACTTTGCTTCATTAGAAAAAAATAAGCTACAATGCTTTATTAACCCACTCTGATAAAATAATTTCTCCATTTGCCCACTCTAGTAACACCTTTTTGGTTTTTAAACCATCCTTCATGAACTTAAGTTTGTGCATCAAATGAAAGGTGATGAGGTCAGAGTGAATAACATTACAAGCAAGGTTAAGAGAAGGAGAAGTGGACGTTTTAGGAGAATAAGAGAAGCAAAGAAATGGAGGTGAATCAGAAGAAAAGGGAGAGGTTGATATCTTTCAGAAAGAGAATTGAAGAGATACAGAAGAGGAGGAGTATTTATGGGGGATAACATCCTCTCCCAAAAAAATGTACAGTTAGAGAGGACAATAATTTTGAATTATTGTAAAAATAAAAATTATGGCTAACAGATAAACCTAAAAGGGATTATCTTGCAGAAAGTGAGGCCAGAGCGACACTGGGACAGGGCAAGAAGAGAAGTGTGAATTGCCACAGATACATCAAATTATTCAAAACAGTCTTGAAAGAAAGCCTCAAATGAAAGCACCTCTTTAGGATTTCATAACCTGAACTTAATTCAAACGTGTCCTTGTGTAATATACTTTGCGTTATTTTAGCCTTAACTCCAAAACAGCTGCTGGACAGTAAGAGAAAAAGGATAGGAAAAAGTCCAGTGAGGCACAAGCAGGACAAGGGCAAGCCTTACAGGAGGGATTTGCTTTAGGGAGTTTAAGATAAAGAACCAGTGTGACAAGTCATTCCCAGTCCCTGCTAAAACCAAGAATCAGGAAAGAGGCTCCAGAGTGGATTAGATACAGCTGTGCCTTCATGCTCTCATCTGTGATGAGAAAGTCCACAAATTTCAGCCTTTTCCTCAACGGTTTAGCTTGGGTTGCCACACTTTTTATAAATATATATGTACACAGACACACACACACACACACACATATATATACAAATTATATATGCACAAGCACACGTGTATAACACGTGAAAGGAGAAAAGCTTGAAGGACAGGCTGAATGAACTCACTGAAAACATAGAGTAACACAAGAGAAGTCTGCAGGTATCACTCATTTTACTTCATTAAACAGATCTCTTTCTATCCCCAGTTACAAATTTAGCTTTGGCTTTAGCACAGGATATGTACAGAACATACGAACTTTCGTCATAACATCCTTTATGTTTCCAGTAAGGACCTCAACAATAACCAAGAAAACGTGGTTAATGAACTTCTGGCCATTGAAATTCCAAAGGAAAACTAGTTCCTCTGTGTCACACTTAGTTCTATTTTGTTGATAAAAATTTTACAGTAATGTTTACTGATGGGAAGAAGTGGATTTTGACATGACATTACATGACCATGTGAACTTGGATAATGATTCCAGACAACTTTGCAGTATTTTTGCCTAGTCAGAGTTACTCAGAAGGTTATCTAGAGCAACAGATTGGATTGCTGCTAATAATACTTTGCATTTTGTAGTTTCCTGAATATGTTTGTTTTACAAGACCAAAGGGATAGATTCAGCAGTAAGGAAAGTGTTTCGATATCTTTTTGTTTATTTCCCCATTATATACACTGTCCAATTAAAGAAATCATTACCTTGAGCAAGCAAGTAATTACAACAACCATAATAGTTTAAAGATCCAAGTTCAAAATCTCTGTAACACTGACAGGTTTCATTCTGCCTAGAATGTTTATCAAAAAAAAACCAAACCAAACAAACCAGTAACATAACACATGACCCCTACTGCAGCAGAGGTACAACACTGAAAACTATCTGCCTCTTTTTTAATTTTGTTGTTTTGAGGACAACAATGACCTACGCTTAAAGATCTGTGTGTAGGATAAATTGCTTTTCTCTGTTGAAGTTAGGGACACTTAGGAGGATATTAGGTGCAAGTAACGACGAGTAAGTTAGAAATAGCTGTTCAGGAAATTGCTCTACTGAAGTGGACAGATGCTGGAAATGCAAAAGTATTATGTTTGGAACTGTAGGAAATGGAGTCCTATAGTTACTGGTTTGCTAAGATTCTTACTTTACTAGAGATAAATATAGATCATACCAGAGCATCCAGATAGACATTTGTCCATTGGACTTGTTTGGCTTTCTCTCCAGCTAAAACCATTGGTCTTCCCAAAACATCCAGATATTCCTGACAAAATGTGCAACAAACTCATCAGAAGGCAGTTACTAGATTGAAGTCCAGAAACAGCATAAAAAATAAATAATAATGAAATAAAAACAATGAAAATTTCAGAAGAAAAAAAGTCAAAATTCACTGCTAATACAGGAGCAGTATTTAATTATTTCTTTAAAATTATACTACCCAACAATTCACTCTTTGGTTTGCAGTATTTACTGCCAAGGCAATTCCTGTATTTCAGTCTCAGTTACATGGACCTTACACATCTACAACCACTGCTCTCTTTCCACAAAGTGAGCATTACAACGATTTCTGTTCCAAAATTAATTCCTAATGGCATAAGGAAATTATGCAGAATCCAACACAGAGGGAACAGTGAGAGTGGAGGGTGAGTGGTGTAGCAGTTCAGTATGCTAACCTCCTACAGCAAGAACTTGCATAACTTCTACTGAGACAAAAAATCCAGTTATAAAACCTCATAGTCCCTGCCTTCCTCCACTTCGCGAGTATGGCTAAAGCTGGTGATCTTATGAGATGTCAGACTTCTGGTCTGGTTTGGGAGTGGATGCCATCAAACTTGTTTCAGTCTTCAATCGTTTCTATCTGTCCGATCATATTAGGGATATTTCTTGCCAGACACTATCTGGAAGAGTTTAGCAGAATCAAAGGACTCTTAATTCAAGCCAAAAAAAGGACTCTTATTTTCTGCCAAAAAATGTCATGCCTGGCCTTGGAAGGACAAAGAACTGCTATGATATTTCTCTGCTTTTCTGGACATGTGAATACATGGGCTTTCAGACAACTGAAAATAATATCTGTTCATCTACACTGTCAATTTGAATCACATCATATAATTCCAGGGTCCCGCGCCCTTAATTATCTACAGTCATGTCTGCTAAAATTGTCCTGCACTATTTTTGAAGGAAAAAAGCTGTGTCTCTCCCAGACTGGTTGGATCACTCCTGGAACCTCTCCTATAAGCAGGATTGACACTAGCAGGGCTATGCCCCCATACACATCCACAGCCTCCTCCACATCATACAAACCCTTAGGATCATGCTGTGGCAGGAGGCAGACTATGAATGTCTAGACGCGTTACAAAAATTAGCAGTTTTATAGAACTTTACAAAAAAACTGCTGCTGTGTCTCAGGATCAAAGAGGGACCACGCAAGGACAGGAGGAAAACTGAGCCCAAAACATAGTCCTTGTACAGAGGTCTACAGGATACAGATCACTTCAAATGCTGTGCTGTGGGCACACGGTCAGCCTGCTCTAGAGGATGCTAGTGTGACCGGTATGCACGCAAGCTGCTGTGGGCCAGCTGGCCAGGGAAGCAGGGAAACACTGTGAATTGGCTCACTGAAACGATTAAAAAAAAATAATAAATAAATTAGACTACTTTAACAGAATAATTCCTCATATGTAACAAGAAAGCCTTATTGTATAAGCCTTATATGTATAAGAGAGGCTTATTTTTTTTCTCTGTTCTTAATGTAGCAAATCTTAAAATTTAATTGATTAGAACAGATGTGAAATGCATCATAAGAACAGAAAGTAATCTATTTCTTTGTGTTGCAACTGTATCTGCATTTGGCCAACACACTTACCTGGGTGTTAATTCTTATGGCTCCAATGGATGGAATTTCATAATAATAACCTAAAATTTGGAACAGAAATGATACCATCTTACTGTAATATATTGCTAGTCTCTTAATCTTGAGGAATTTAATTTAGCTTGCAATTTCTAACTTCATTTGCATATAAATTACCCTGTATTAATAGAATACTTTTTTAGTAGATGCCATCACAATGCGTAGCCACCTATGACAGGTCACCATGCCATATAGGCCAAACTAGTTACTCTAGCAGTGAGAGCATAGAACAGGTTTCTTCTGTCTGTTGTTTTTAAACTTGTACTCCTGAATTCCCAGTTACTCTGACGTGCAAGTATATTTAATGGTGACTTTAATACACAGTGACAGCAGTGTAATTATATGCTGAATGCATATAGGAATGCAAGTATAGCTACAGCCTGCCATAACAGTGAAGTTCATAGCAGAAAAATATAAGGCACTCTGTGGAAAGGATGAAAAAAATCAGTCTGGTATTTTTCCAGCTAAACATCAGAAATGTCTTTATTCATCACTGATTTTATCACCTATTTGTTTGAATTAATAATACTGCCCATATGCACCAATAAGACTGAAAAGACAGGCACTGAGATCCAGTTTCAGACCAAGTTCTAAATCAGATTGGAAGGAAGGGGGGGAGGACTGGAGAGGTAAGAGTACTGAGGTTAGGCATTTACTTTGCTTTAAGCAATGCATGACTTGATAATAAATTTAAATTTTTATTTAAGGGAAAATTAAATTGAACTTTGCTTCTTTGGATATGCAAGCAAATAATCACATCAGTTTTGGACAGAAGATAGTTCAAGACAGAAGTGTTCAAGACCAGGCTGGATGAGGCTTTGGGCAACATGGTCTAGTGGAGGGTGTCCCTGCCCATGGCAGGGGGGTTGGAACTTGATGATCTTTGAGGTCCTTTCCAGCCCAGGCCATTCTATGATTCTATGATTCTATGATAATAATTTTGCCTTGATGATAAGATGACATAGGTGGTTATGCTTTAAGCCAGCTGGTCCTCATTTGTTTCAAAACAACTGAGTTCATATGCACACAAAGATGTTAGTTAAAAAACATTTGCTCAAAAAACCCCTGTTGATTTTATGTAATTATCTGACAACACAACCTGCTCTTCAGGAAGTTGTATAACTTCTGCATAATTTGCCAGCATACTGAGGGATTCATGAATATATGATATGTATGCTATTTACACAGGCTATGCATTCTTCTGTATCATTATTTTTTTTCTGTGTCTATATCTTTCTCTTTCTCTTATCTTTGGTTTATGTTATTCTCACACCTGAGAACTGTATCTTATCCTCCTTCCCTGACAGTCTTAATTTTCAGTAGCCTTTGTAATCTATCCCACCTCTCACCTCTTGCTTCTCAGTGATTTCTAAAATACTTTCACATTTTCAGTCAAGCCTGGAAATTGCTCTACTTAAAATATTAAACAACATTGTTTAATAATTTCTCTATTTTCTATTTATTTGTATTTATCTCTTATCTCTTGTTCCATAATTATACTGTAAGGTATTTGAGACACCTCTTTTTCATAATCTTTTCAAATGTTTCTGACCATATTTTTCATGTAGAAATTTTAGGAGAAAACATTTTACTTCCTTACTTTCACATTTTTTACTTTTTTTTTTTTTTTTTCAACATAAAGAAATCAGGATAAGAATATAATATGTAAGATGCTCTTAGAAGCTAAGAAATCACGGCAAGAATGATTTTAATGTTTTCAACAAAAAAGGGAAAAATGGTGCAACTCATCTGGTCCCTTGTAAGTTTTGGAGAAAAACAGAAAGAAATTCAACTAGCCAACCAAACAAAAAATCCCTTTGTCCAGGCCCCTTGATATGAAACAGCTTTGCTCAATTTCTTATCTGTCATCAGTTCTATCTTTTCATAGATATTACAGCAGAAATTCTCAAAGCTGAACCATAATATCTTATTATAAAAATACCGTGATATTTTTCCTACAATATAAAGTTTTAAATAATCAGAAATAAATATGCAAGCTTATTCTTTGCATATATATATGCATATACACATTATTTCATCAACTAACTTTTTGTAACTTTTATTAAAAAATACAGTAAAACTAAACATCAGGTTGAAAAAAATCTGAAATTTTAGAGAATAATAAAGACATTGCCTATCCAAAGCTCTAGCAAACAGCAGTCTCAAAGAAAAACACAGTACCTTTATTTTCACAGGCCATCCACTGTATGGGTCCTTTGTCATAATTATGTTGACCAACAGAAAATGTGAATACACGTACCTATGCAGATAAAAAACAATGCATATAACTTGTGACTCTCAAGTTAATGATACTTGGATTTTTCATACATTTGAACAGAAAACTGTGAACTTTCCATTTCTATCACTATCATAAATATACTGTTATGATGATACTTTATGTATTCCTGCTAATTATTTTGGTCCATGAAGTAAAACTCAAGAAGAATGTTCTTTCATACATTAAAGCTCTTACGTTAGTTACTGTCCATGAACCATCTAAATGTCCTTTTTTTTTTCCTAGGATAGTACTTTATAACTCCTCAGGTTTTGTTAAATTAGTTGATGCAATCTCCTATTAATATGAGATGCTCACCAATGAATTAGAAAGAACATACAATGGCAGTAGAATTCAAAGCAATACAAAACAGGACTTTTTAGGATACAAAATAATTTCAGGAAAAAAAGTTATGAAATTGCCAGATACTACAGAAAGCAAATTCTCATTTTGCTCAGACTTTCAGTCTTTTCATGTAAACCCACTAAATTACTTCAACAGACTTCCATGCTTCTGATATTTAATTTTAAGCACTTGATATTCATTAAAGTTCTGTGTTTTATAAGCACATTTTTATTCTGCTTAGTCAATGCAACTCCAACATATCTCAGGAACTGAGGGGAGTCATGGCTTCTGAGGATTCACCAAATTCTATCCAAGTTTTGGACATAAAACAGGGTTTTCAGCTTAAACTATTTTCCATGCAAATTGACTGATTTGAATTAAAAAAATAAAAACAAAAAACCAGTATTACTGTACACAGATTAAAAATCCTACAAGACATGTAGGAAAATGACAAATATTATTTTTCAGCTTCTGGCTGAATACTTAGCTCAGAAGCTGAGCCTTTCTGAAAAGGTGGAAAGAATATTCTCCCAACAGTTTTAATAAGCTGATCACTGTTATCATGTCCCTCTGAAGGAATGTCCAAGGACCAGACTGCCTTTCCTTTTCAGGTATCTCTTTATGGACCATTAACTTTATCACTTCACTTTACAAACCACAGATCACAACATGAAATCAGAATATAAATTCCTTTTTACGGAACTTGATGACTATGTTTAAAATTAAGCCATAATACAATCAACTTACACACAGGCTGTAATTGAGTAATAAGGTAATGTTTTCTTTAAATAATTTTCATCATATAAAATTGCAGAGACTCTTTGCAAACTACTGATAATTGCTAAATTTTTAAATTATTATTTATATGAATTTCATCACATTATTTAGCACATGTGATTACTACCTAAACCTTCATTTGTCAAATAAGCAATAAAAATTTGGTGACATAATCAGAGCTGATCTAGGTGTCCTGCTCCAGCAGGGGGATTGGACTACATGATCTTTCGAGGTCCCTTCCAATCTCTAACATTCTGTGATTCTGTGATTCATGTATTAACCAAGAGCTGTAGGAATAGCTCCAAATGATCAGTCAGCAACTAGCAATTGATGAAAACTTTATTAGTGTTGACCCCTATATGTAAGAAGGGCAAACAAAACTTTGTGCTAGATGTCATTTTTAATTAATATGTTTTGATTTGCTTTATCGGTTGGACTTGATGATCCTTGAGGTCTTTTCCAACCTTAAGGGTTTTATGATTCCAATATCTGTACAACCCTTTTGTTTCTACAGTTAAAAGCAGAATTAAAGCAACTACTCTGCTGCACTGAACGCTGATACAGGTGTTTGGTTTTTTTTCAATACAGACAAAATTTGAAGTTTTTAAATGAAATTAATAAGACTATCTGCTACAGGGTCATTTCTCAGTAATGAGTCAAGCCAATTACAGTTCTAGTTACCCACCTAGGCATGGGAATGACTGTACATGTATAATGGAAAAGTTTTGTTCTCATACTTCATATGGATAGAGACAGATGAAAAATGCCATCTATTACCTTGAAAATATCAGTATTGATAGTGCAAACATGACTTCACCTGTTATGCCTGCATTTCATTTATATTTAATACTGTATCACATTGTAAATTCAAGTTACATTTGCCATCCCCCATTTGTTCTTGACCTCTTTTACAAAATGTCAGCTACAACTCTTCTAATGGATCCTTCTGTTTTTATTTAATTGCCATCTATTTCTTCCAAGATGACTATCACAATGTTGTTTTCTATTGGTATCTCTCAGCTGACAAGGTCCCTGCTTATTAAACTCCCGTTCTTTTTTGGACTCACCACTGCTACCTGTTTAGTGTCCACTTAACACTTGATTCAGATTACACTCTTCTCAAAAATTATGATGAAATAAGAAAAACCTCACTGAAGGCCAACAGTTAGGTAGTTGAGTGACCTGATGTCTCTTGGATTAAAAATAACTACTCAAGTAAGTTAAGACAGAGCCATGCTGGTTGGCTTGTGTGTTTATAAAACACAGGAGTCAATTAGACTGGACTGTCTAGCATTTGATCTCAAATGTAAAAATGAAACACTGCACTAGATTCAAGTTGCGAAATGATATGTAATTTAGGGAAAAGAAGCACCATGTTAAATCTGCAACTAATCTATAAAGAATTTAGAATTTAAATTATTGACTACAAGCAGAGGACAATATATCTGATTTACTGTTCCTTGGATAATTAACAGAGATAAAGAACTGCAACGAAAATTGGAGTGTTTAATTGTTACTTGGTTTGGCAAGAGGGTGGAACATTCAAAAGAGTTTTCTTTTTCCTATTGCCTCATCTGGAATTGAGTAGAATGACAGACCAGCTGGAAAAATGAGTCAGCAAGTCAAATTAAACAAGCCAATTTTAGCAGAAAACATGCTCAGTACTAACATTTTCTGTGACAGGACACAGAGTCAGCCAAAGGACTGAGATGTGTCTCTCTATACCTTTTCCTTATAGACATTTCTCCAAAGAAGACAAAAGTCTTTTAAACTAAAAAAGACAGACTGAATTACTTTTAATAGGGATATTTGTGACTGAGAACACTTGGAACAACTGTATCAGAGACAATGGATGTGAGCACCTCTCCCATCGCCTGTCCTTCCTTTCGAGTTTGGTTTCAACTAGCTAAGTAGATTTCCAAGTTGAAGCAAACTGCCAAGTACTCTTTGATCCCAAGAAGTTGTTTTCCATCACCACTGAGGCCTGGTTATTTCTTCCCTGTGCTTCTCTGCAGTCTCTTAGGTTCTGTGTAGTCTACGGGTTCCTGCGTGCTTTTGCTATAACTCTTGCTCTCCATCATCCGCACCAGCGGATGGACACCTCTGTCACCCAGACCAATTCCCAGGGAAAGGGCAACCTTGCCTCCATACAGGGGAGATCCATCTATTCTCTTTGTAAAGAAACATAACTTTCACATAGATAAAAACCATTGCAACAGTCAGAAAAACAAACAGGAGGTGTCACACTTTCTGATTTTCAGTGGGACTATTCAAAGTAAATTACTTCTACAAAACTCATATGAATGAGAGAAGCACTTAGAGACAGGCACCAGCCTGCTCTGCCAGCCCAGTCAGATGCAGTCTTGAAACTGTTCTGAAATGTCAGAGTCCTAATTCCTACCACCAGGAGTTCAAGTCCCGAGCTGTCCTAGTTATGCCAGTGCTGGTAATGGGTAGCTAATTCTCTGTATTTTTCACACTCTGCAACTAATCTTGGGTATAAAACACAAAATCTTTTATTCTTTATATTATCCATTTACAGTATATAGTAGAGCAATACCATGTATTGTATTAACAAGAAAAACAAGCGTTGAATTTCTGTAAGGACAGTCAGACAGTGAGTAGCACAGGCTGCCCAGAGAGGCTGTAAAGTCTGCCTCCTTTGAAGCTTAAAGATCAGATTAGATAAAGCCCTGAGCAACCAGGTTTGATCTTATTCCTGACTTTGGACTAGAGACCTCTTGAGGTCCCTTGCAGCCTGACTTATTCTAGGATCCTATGAAGGGCATCAAAGGAAAACAAGCAAAAATCTAAATCCTAAACAGAGGAAGTGGTAGACAAAAAAGAAAGCTACAGAACATAGAGGAAGAAGTACTATATTGAAGAAAATAGAATTGCCTAATTATATAATTAATTTGCTTTTTATTTTTTATTTCTCTCTAGCAGAAGAAGCTCATAAACATCAAGGTGAATAGAAGGATTCTGACTGCTACAGATATTAGGGGATAACGGCAGTCAAGAGAGTTGTGATGAAGACAGAAATGAGGAGCTGCCTGTGAAAAGGCTGCTTTCCCCACTGATCTCAGTTGCTTTTTACTTATTTCTTCCTTTCGCTATTGGAATAAAATAAAGAATAAAATTAAAGATTAAATAAGTTGCTCCCTTTGGGTGTATCATATTATGAGTATTACAGAAAATTATCAGCTGGAATGAAGTTAATTCAAAGTAGTAACTAAGCACAGAGATCACCCTTCCTTTTTGGACCACTGTGTATATGTGTAGGAAATACGTGTAGGCCTACGAGAGTCTGAGAAAGTACAACAACTCTGCAAGCAGTTCAGAGTGAATGAACATGCATATTTTTTGACTGATAAATTTTGTCTTGAATTCTGTGCTGCTGTAACGAGAGAGCTTTCAATAACCATTTATGTGCATCTCTTCATTACTCTGTATAGCAAGGGATTAACTGACCTTTGGAGATGTCTCTTTATCAGATATCAGGAGAGCCACATGATTAACTTACTCAACTAAATGTAGGCATTTTATATCTATCATGTATAAATCTTTCTCCACCGCTAGATAAACAAGTGCACAGAGACAAAAATTGATCTCATCAAATGATGCAATTTCAGATTTCATGATGACAATATGATTTCATAATATTTTAATCTGGCTCTTATAACTGCAGGTAAAGATTCATAGATAATCTCTTTTACTATAGAACAAGAGAAGCTGTGATATAGAGGAATAACTCTGTAATTCCAGCATGATCCAGGAAAATATTTTTCCCACTAACGTGTAGATTATCAGATCTGATGAAAAATTGTTTGCAGTTTATAATTAATAGGTACATTTCTGAAATA